TTTATTTTGGCACATGCTAACGCTGGTAAATGACACAAGACTCCGAGGTTAGTTTGGCTTAAAGGTGAAGATCTCCATTAAGAAGATCCAATCAGAGAAAATAATTAGAAATAAAAGTAGGAGGATAGCATTGATGTTGACTAGCAGTGAGTTCGTTAAAAGGTATGCAGCAGAAGAGCGGTTGGTTTGGCAGCATGACCTGTGATACTGAGGCAGGATGGGACTGGTGCAGGACGGGTTGACGGGCAGTCATCTAGAACCCTGCAGAGTGATGCATTGTGGGAAGATGAGCAGGTTAGTGCAATGTAGCTTGAAAAGGAAACTGAAACATTTAATTGCATGAGAAGCAGTCACTCCTAACGTTGGCACTTCATCAGCCAGAACTGATAGGAATCTTTAGCATTTGTAGTTCTGTCAAGTTCAGGCTGGATTTTTATTAATTTGAAGTTTAGAAATGTATTTGTTTTGATTTTAAAGATGATATATATATTTTTTTTATCTCAGAGTTACAGTCGCTTACTGAAGGAGATGTGAAGCTCCATGTAATCTGTGGATTAAGGAGGTCTGGGGAGTGGCACAGAAAATGACTACTGTGGGTTGTGATCTACTAACAACCCCCACCCCCTTAAAACCCATGCTGTCAGTTCCTTTCATCACTGATGCAGCTTTCCAGGTGTCCAGAAGACAACTCAGGTTTCATGTGTTCATCTGATGGTTGTCATCCTACAGCCGTACTTTCTTTGTGTAAATTTGATTCAGGGATTGGCTCTTTGTAAGCTTCTGAGAAGCCCCCAGATCAGATTTTTCACATAATCATAAAAACAGAACTTCGATGAATGCATCAGTGATGCTTCCATGAGTTGTAACAGTTGTGCTGCTACCCGCACAAAACATTTCTCTCTGTTAACATTGTTAGAGAACATTTCAAACCTGACACGACTGATTATTTAAGAGACACAATCTAAACCAGGCACAAACAGCATCACGATTTGTTATGCAAAGGAGTTTAAAGTCAACTCAAATACAGAAACTGCAAAACAGGCCCAAATCATCAGCCCTCCAACCCTGTGCTTGATTATTGCTTGACTGGAGGTGTTTGTGCTGTTTGTTTAGTGACCAGAATTCTCAACTATAGTCTGTTCTAAAAAGACTTTTAAATCCAGTTTTTTTTTTTCATTTATCTCATGCTGCCTTATTTTTTTTTACGAGTAAGTCCATTTGCATTTTATACTTTTGTGTTGCACTAACACAAAAGTTATGTAACTGTGTGTTACTATTCTTAAAAGCATTAACAAGATGGACAGAGATCGGATTTCCACTTGTTTAACATGGATAAGTGGATGTTTGTCATCAACAATGTGCCTCATCGCTGCAGCCTCAACACAATTTGATCACTTACACACACACAGATGCACACACACATACACACACTCACGCACAGACGCACACACACACACACACACACACACACACACACACACACACACACACACACACACACACACACACACACATTTAGTCCAAATCTGTAAAAAGGAGGAAGCAGAACAGAAGTCTGTTGAGACTGGTTGGTGTTCTGGACTGGTGAAGCTCTGGAGTCATTTGTGCAGAACAGGAATTTTTGGTATGACAGCAGAAGAAAACATCAGATTAAAAAGTGCAAAAGAAAAAAACAACTTTCTTGACTTTTAGATTACTGAGCTGCAGAGAACAAATGCAAAATCTCAAACATTTAAAATTCCACTACACCCATTAATAACAATTTAGAAAATAAAAGTTTTAGAAAACACTTTTTTTAAAGTAAAAATATGAACTCATTGGTTTTACAGTTCTGTAAACTTCAGTGCGCTAAATAAAGATGAGACTGTGTGTGTGTGTGTGTGTGTGTGTGTGTGTGTGTGTGTGTGTGTGTGTGTGTGTGTGTGTGTGTGTGTGTGTGTGTGTGTGTGTGTGTGTGTGTGTGTGTGTGTGTGTGTGTGTCCTACTATTAACTGGAACTTCCTGTTTTGGCAGCTTCAGGTGGGCGGAGTTTGTTGCTAGATGGTGAAGAGGAAGTAGTGAAACCTGGCTGCCTCTGAACTTCAAAAATGATAGAATGAGTTATTGTTCTTCTCTTTTTTTTCCACTAGTTTTGTCTGTATCCATGTTTCTTTTTGTGGTTGTTTAACATTCATAACTCAGATCATTTCTGTGTTCCTAAACTAAAGCGTATTTACCATGAGTAGAAGAAATTTTCATATTTGCATGTTTTCTGCTATTTGTGAATGTTAGCCGAGCTGTGACAAACCTTTAAATAAATCTAAATCTGGATGCTTTGTGCTTTAAAGTATTAAAACATGTCTAAACTGATATGTAATTGCACACATTGTCTTCCGATGTTGAGCATAAGTAATGAAAATATGGTTTAAGACACTTGAATAAAAAAGTTTTCTATTTGTTTTTAATTTTAGTGATGAGTTGGGGATGCTTGATTCATACTTATGTATTTTTTGTTTAAACTAAGCATCCAAAGTTAATATTTTTTGGCAGTCCCTCTGCATTCTTGTCACCTACACATAGTGTTTCTCCTGGCGCCTTGCTTTGCTCAAAAGAAATCATGGGAGAAATCCAACTTGACAATTTCCTCCTTTTGAGTTATCTAAAATGATATCAAGAAGAAAAAGAGTTAAATAGTTTTTCGGAGCTCATATTTGACTCAGTTCATGTTCTGCTTTCTTTCCAGTTCTTCACAAACTGTTCATTATTTCATTGTTAAAATATTTGCTTCATGACATTTCTGCCCTTTGGTTTTAAATGAATTGTTATGCATCAATATTCAGATATTGACTTTTCTCAACAACAATACTTAAAATCTAATTTCACATGAAGACATGTTTTAAACCTGCTGAACTTCGGTGCTAAAAATAATCTAGTTTAATAACTGCCATGAAGTCCAGAATACAGAATAATGCGCTCATTGACTGAGTCTCTATTAATGTTGTTAATCTAATTGTACATCTGCTGCTGAGGAGACAGAGACACTATGTTTCTGAGTTTCCTGTCCATCCATTCAGTGGTTTGACAACCGTTCATTCATTAGTTTGATATGAATCTGGTTTATCCTGTTTCGAAGTTAGAGCCGGCTATCCTCAGGGGAAAGATAATGTCATAACATCATAATAACACTTTTATATCAAGGCTCTACGTTGTGGACACAATAAAACATTTATTTGTAATTGATCACAAAAATCAATTTCATTTCAGCTGTGAATCTATTTGAGTGTTTTATAATGACGGCACAGTTTAGGTTAATAATTAGAACAAAATCACGAAAGTGGAATGAAAGTTTTTTTTAATGGTTTAATAATATGTTGGCTTTTTTATTTACTCTGCAGCACAGGAAACATATGATATAATGATAATATCATATAATAGATTACAAAATCAGATTGATAACTTGTTATGAAAGCCTTCAGCATAATCTGCATGAGCTTTAAGAATCAATAACATGTTTTGTGTTTTAAGTAAACAAAGTGGTGCCAGACTGGGAATAAACTCAAATCACTATTTTGTTTTCAACAGAAAGTCTTTTGGAATTTTTTTACTGTTGATTTCATTAGTCAAAACTCCATCTTTGAATCATTTTATACTTGCAATTTTTTTAAGCATGGTTTCATATGGGCTGCATGGTGGAACAGATGGTTTCTCCACGTGATGTTTTATTCACAGGTCAAAAACTTGCATATTTGGTTAATTTTGTGACTCTGAATTGTCCCCTGGGTGTGTAAATGTTTGAGTGGGTGTATGTCTTGTTTGTCTCTCTTGGTGGACTGCCAACCTGTCCAGGGTGTCCCCCGTATGACTGCTGGAAGATGCATCAGGTCCCCACAACACTAATGAGGATGTGGCTTAGATGGTTTCCCATGAAGCTAATGCTATTTCACTGTAACTAACTTTTATTACCAAAATTTTACTTTATTTAACTAAACTTTAGTTTTTATTTAGCTTTCCTTAACTTTACTTAACTGAACTAAACTTTAATCAGCTTCATTTCAGTTTAATTATTTTTTCACGTAATTTACCTTTACATTATTTACCTCAGCTGTATTTCTTTAACCTTATTATAGCTAATTTAATTCACTTTAACTCGGCTTTACTTTACTTTTGGTTTTGGTTGCAACCCCTTTGGGCAATAGCATTCCTTTTACTTATTGTTCAACTAATTTGACCATAGAAATCAAACATTTAAAAACTTAAACGTCTGTGTGTCTCAACAAATCTCCACAAAGCAAAGAAGCCAGAGCCCTAAACAGTATACAAATACAAAACAAATGTGCAAACGGATAGCTTCAATTCTACATTATTTAAACGGATTAAAATGTAATTAAAGAGCAAGTCACCCCCTACCAGATTCTTACTCAACTCCCACTTCCTGTTTGAAAAATGCAACAAATGCTATTGCCTAGCAGACCGAAAGGGCAGAGCCGCTAACAAATTCACACACCACACAGGCTCACAACGACATTGTGACATCATAATGTACCAGCTAACGTTCTAGGGTACCTCTTAGCCAATAGCGATGGCAGATTAAAATTCAAATGCAGTGCAGAGTTTTTACCTGACAACGGCACAACACTGACAGTTTTAGGCAGAAAATTAAAATTTTAACCAAAATGCACTAAAGTGCAAAACTATTGACTACACGTGTCTGCAACACAATTAGAAACACATTTATATAGTTGATCAGAAAAAAAGTTGATTTGGGGGTGACTTGCTCTTTAAATAACTGCTTTATCTTATCACAGAGGCACAGTTTATATACCTGGTTCAGAGACAGACAGTCTGCAGAGAGGTGATCATTATCTGCTGCCCTCACCTGATCATACCTCCCTGCATGTGGGTGGTAAATTGGGCTCTGATACCTGCAGCCTGTCAACCTGCATTTCAGTAAGTCCACAGAAAGTCCCAACCACGTGCCTCAAAACTGAAAGGCAATAAGAAGATATGAAAAGTACTTGAAAGGCTCAAACTGATACAAATAAGGCAGTGTGCTTGTTGATCTCTATTTGTAGATATTTTTGCATCTTTTAAAAATTAAAAAACTTCACTTTAGTCTAACTTTAAACATGCCCAGTGGCGTTTTTGATTGGTTCGGGGTTTTTCAAATTAAATAAACAATTTTTTGCACACCTTTGTGATTTAAAAGTTTATTTAGATAAAAGTAGCTGAAAATCTGAATGATTGAAGTGACCTGGAGGAAAATGAAAACACATTCGGATCTCATGAGATCTGCAGGTCGCATCCTTCTTTGATGACGCGCCACATAGAGTGATGTTGATCGTTTCTAAAACAAAAGTCGCCTGACCCTTTTTTCAACCTGCACTGCAACCGTGGGAAACCTGATGAGATCAAAGGAGCCGTGTAGCAGCTTTACATTGACCTGGGCGGAGTGTCTGCACCTGTGGACCCATTCATAGCGCTGATTTGCTGCCGAGTTCACACTTCGCTCCTGCAGGGACGCACAGACGCGCAGTCGACCCGAGGTATGGATGCGGATAAGAAGCCCGTTGGAGACCAGGCTGAACAGATCCTGGATATCTGCTCCACCTCGCCCTCTGCTGAGGACGAGGCCGTCCAGATGGAGAAGCCCCCCTATTCCTACGTGGCTCTCATAGCCATGGCCATCAAGGACAGCCAAGACAAGAAAGAGACGCTGAGCGGGATTTATAAATATATCATTTCTAAATTCCCTTATTATGAGAAGAACCAGAAAGGCTGGCAGAACAGCATCAGACATAACTTATCTCTGAATGAGTGCTTCGTCAAGGTGCCCCGAGAGCGCGGAGGTGACCGGAAAAGCAACTTCTGGACGCTGGATCCCGCATTTGAAGACATGTTCGAGAGAGGGAATTACCGGCGTCGGAGGAGGGTGAGGAGGCCCTACAGGCCCCCCAGTGTGCCTTACATGACCGGTTCCCCGGTGGAGTACACCGACTACTACCTGCATCAGTATGTGAGCGGCTCCTGGGGGTTTTGCCCGCCCAGCGCGCCCCAGCAGACCGGAGGATACCCAGGACCTCAGGTTATCTCCGTACACACCCACGGGTCAACCAGCGGCCCTTACTGCCCGCCTCCCAACTTCCACCACCCGGTCTACGGGGGTTTCCACCGACACCCGTCGGTTCTGGTTCCACACAACGGGTGTCCCTACGGCGGAGTGACCCAGCCGATGAGTCCGGACGGTGCCACCGTGTCTGTGGGATGCAACCACCAGCACTTCACTTATGGGAGGCAGGCAGAGGCGCAGCTGGTTTATTTCTCCGACCAGTAAGAGACTGGGAATTTCTCCTGACCTCCGACAGACTCTTGTTTGTTTCATCATTTCTATTCTGCTGTCAGGCTGAGTTGGATGATTAACTGTGTTATAGATCTGTTGTTACACCGTTTATTCCAAAGCGGAAGGTTATTATTTTAGTTCAAACATCAAACCAGAATTTACTCACCTCAAATACAGTCAGTAAACGCAAAACCAAAGAACTGTTTGACTTTTTGGTAGTATTTTTTACATGCCAAAAAATGTCTTAATATTATTTGTATGGTTTTTATTCGATTTGCTTTACATGTCAGAGCTATTATTTATTACTTTTTGTTGTTGTTGTGGTTTATCATTTTTTTTTGTTTTTTGAGGGTTTTTAGCTGCTACATCAGTTGATGAAACAGAAGCACCGACCTTTTTGAAAAATTCGATTCTGAATGTTTTTTTTAAATGTGGACTGCATAATGTTTGTTCAAATAAAATGTTTTTCCATGATACTCTGCAACTGACTGGACTAACTGTTACTAAACATGATTAGCCTACAGTGCCTACTACTTAGTGTCCGCATACAGACAACAATTTAATGACATGATACTTATAATTCTGTAAGCTTAAAATAATAAAATAATCAGCCAATGTTTGACATGGTCCTACCTGCTGTCCTCAGCATAAAACTATTTTTTCATTTAAAAAATCCCGTTTTCATCAACTTATCAATGAAAAATGTGGAGCTTCACAAAGTGTGGACAATTTCTGACACGATTTGAAGCTATTTTTGTATAGGTTAATTGAACATTTGTACAGAAACTAATGTAAAATGTAGTTATAACAAAATGAAATAAAGTTATGAGGTTATTGTGCTGCGTTTGATGCACCTCGGTAACGGGATAAACAAGAATGTGGAGAAAATTAATTTAATCGCAGTGAGCGAGGACGTTCTGGTACTAATCCTTGCCATTTTATGAACATCAGTCCCACCGATGAGTTTTTTTGTTTGTTTATTTAACAAAATGATAAAACAGCAACCTCGATATAAGTTTGGGTACATCTTACCGATGCAATGTTCACAATCAAAGCACTTTCAGATCAATGTTGTAGGTGCGGAATGGATCATGTCTGAGTAACCAGTGTCAAAAATGTGGCGAGTCGGCGACATGCTGTGGCCACTGGTATTCAGTTGTATTTGAATGCATCATTGAAACAAAGAGGCCACACTCCAACAAGGTTGGATTTTGTTTAAACAAGGTTTAAAAATGAATTAAGAGTCAAATGAGCTGAATACTATTAAATTCTAATTAAATAAATATTGGGCACATGTAATATGTATAAATGTGTAAATTATACAACTACTGAATGATATGGAGGAGGATTACAATTATTTCTCATAAACCGCTCACCATGGAACGCGACCATGTATTGGAACGCGGCCAGGAAATGACGTACATTCCGTTTCCGACACAGGGCGTTTATAAAAGGAATTTCTTACCGCGTGCGCGGCGCGCTCACTCTGTGTTAAATCCGTGAACCAAGAACCCAGTGACTAATTTTAGTAAAATGGAAACTTTTAACATGCTTCTGTTTGAGTATCCTGAGCTGATGTACAGTGGATTTGGAGCGACGGCGGTCTTTGCAGGTGGCGCTCTAGTTTACAAGATTGCCACCAGGTAAAATCTGTTCTGAACCGCGAGATACTTTGTTTTTTTATCTTACCGTCGCGTTACCTTCATGTAAACACAGTTATGCTCGTGTACCTGGTTTGGATGTTCCTATTTGGCACGTTTAGAGAACGTGTTTGTAAGACTAATACTTGTAAATGCATGGAGTCTTTCTCAAAAATCCTGCTAGCTTGTATGCTAATTTTGCTAGCCCTGATGCTAACATGTAGCAAACCCTACCGGGGCATCGACTTAAACAGTTAATCACACTATACGAGCGTGGTGAGGTAGCATAATCTTTGTTTGTAATCAGGGAACTAAAAGATTGACCAGTGGATTGCTGAACCCAGTTTTTACTTGCAGAAAGAAGCCCACTCATGCCAGTGTCAACTGCTGGTTCTGTAATCAAAACACAGTGGTGCCATATGGCAACAGGAATTGCTGGGATTGTCCGAACTGTGACCAGTACAATGGCTTCCAGGAGGTAAGTTTTAAGATTTTCACGCATCTTTAAAATCAGAAATTCTGTTGTTTTGATTTTTTTTTGTTTCTTTTTTCCCAGAATGGAGATTACAACAAACCCATCCCAGCTCAGTACATGGAGCATCTCAATCATGGTGTTTCTGGAAGCCCTCAATCTGAGACGCCCAAGTCCTTGCAATGGGTCAACTGTCAAATGCTGTTGTGCAGGAAGTGCAATAACAACCAGTCTACAAAGATCAAGCAGCTGGCGTCATATATCCCTAGAGATGATGTATGGAATTGTATTGTTTTGAATATTGCATCTAGGGTTGTCACGGTAATGGTGTATTTGAATATTGCATCTAGGGTTGTCACGGTAACGGTGTATTTGAATATTTCATCTAGGGTTGTCACGGTAACCGGTGTATCTTTAAACCCCAGTAAAAGAAAGTTGACAATAATAATAACCGTCTTGTTTTTAAATAAAAATATTATCTCAGTGGATTACCGTGGCTGCGGTGTAGGCGCGGTGACTCTTACCAGCCACCTTATCTGCTGAAGTTGCTGGGGCACATGGGTACTTTGTTGTTTACACAAGAAGACAAAGTCAGAAGTATGGGCATTTTTTGAATATTTGAAGAATGCAGAGGGACAATTGATAGAAGACGGCTATCTTGTTTGCAGCACGTGCAGGAAATAGTGTCAGTGAAAGGCAGCAGGGCTTCAAATCTCATGACACATCTGCGTGACCATCACCCACAACTCTACAGTCAAAGCAAGGCAAGTTAGCGTTTTAGCTAAAATGCGTGATCCAAGGATTTGGGTTGAGGGAGAATGCAACGAGTCGCTATATAAAGTAGCCGCAGCGCCGCTACCTGCATATAAACCGTGTCGCGGACACTCCCATGTTGAAATGATGCTATGCATTATGGGGCTCCCAGGGGCAGATAAGAGTTGGTCTCTCTCCGAGAATAATTATGAATTTAACAATGATTACTGCCTGATGACATTTTCCCAAATCTGCAAAGCTCACTGGAAGGACACAAATTGAGGACAATATTTTCCTGATATAGGGTTTATTACTCAAGTAAGGGTAAAAATGTATCTGATTAGAAGGCTACTTGAGTACTGAGTATCATCTGATCTAATATTTTTAAAATGATGACATCAAACAGACAAAAAATAAGTTATGTGCAAATATTGGTATTTTAAAGTAAAGGGGAAAAATGTAAACAAACAACATAATTACAAAATAACAAATTTCAGGCAAAATTTAGTCACAAACTGAGGACAATGCTTACCTGATATACAGGGTTTATTTAGTTGTTTGAAAATGTTACACGTTTAAAAAAAATACTGGGATAATACCGAAAACCTTGATATTTTTGGTCACAATAATCGTGAGGTTAAATTTTCACACCGTGACAACCCTAGTTGCATCATATATCCACAATAGGGTCATGGCTGAATTTTCTTGTGTTTTCTTAATTCTTTTCACTTTAGGAGAACTATGATGAAGAAATTGAAGCCTTCAAGCATCACCTGGAGCAAACTTTTAAGTTATGCAGACCCTGTCAGACAGCGGTGGAGTATTACATCAAGTATCAAAACCGCCAGCTTCGTACTGTGCTCCTAAACCACCAGCTTCGGCGTACCAGAGAGTCTGACTCAGGATTTGTAAAGGTCAGTGCAACACACTAGAAGTTTTTCAAAAAACACAAATACAAACAGAAATATTAGTTGTGCTGGTTTGTTTATATTATAAGAACCTGATTTGTAAACACCACCGTAATTTGCTTGTGAACAGCAGTGAACTTTTTAACCCATCAATAATACTGTTTATGGAGGTAGTATGTAAACTGCACATTACCTGGTGACTTTTATTTGTTCACAGATCAAACAGAAATTCAGTTCCACACAACAAAGACTCAATATAAATATTTTTTTCCTGTCCCGTTTTGACATTCCACAGTATGTTGCTCAGTTTGTGTACAGAAATGAGCTTTTAAGGCTTTTTTTGTTCCCATTTACGTTGCTGCCTTATGTCAAAGTGCTCATTCGGTTTACCTGTCAGTGAATCGTTATTGCAGGATTTTTTTTCTATTACAAGTTTTAAGAATAGAAACATGCTCTCTCTCTTCCACAGAGCTCTCATTCGCTGTCCTCACCAGTAGGAGTTATAATGCTGAGGGTCCTTGCCTTCCTGTTGTGTGCTTTCGTACTTACCACGTCATTCTGTGACTTCCCACAACAACCTGTCTCACCAAGTGGCCCGCAGACGTTAAGTGGAGGTGTCACGCCTCCAAACCCCACATCCAACAATGCAACCTCCCCCAACAACAACATTAGTGCTGCTCTGCTTGTGTGGCAGGGTGTGCTGGAGGTTCTACCAGACAGGGTCATAGAAAATGCCCAGATAGTGTGGCAACACGGAAAGAACAACCAACTGGTGACCGTCTCTGCTGGCCTGTTGACCTGTCTCACGGCTATCTTCTTTGCAGGACCCACGAGGTAAGCAGTTGTATTTTTTTGTCTTTTAAATGGGGATTTTCAGCTCGGGATTAATCAAATTCTGCTTTTTTTGTCCTCCTTATGTTTTTAGGTTGAGGAGGATTGATGTTGTGGCATCAGTGCTGTGGTTCTTCACCCTGTGCCTCTACCTGTCTGAGAGCTACTTGACGAACACCTTTAGCTGGATGGACACAGTGAAGCTCATCACCGTCTCTCTCTGCTGCCTTGTCAGCTTTGCTGCGGCTGCTGCAACTCGCAAATCGCTGGGTCCACGAAGAGCCAGACATCGAAGGTCAGAATCTGAGCAGTAATAAATGTTCTCATTGGGTCAGCAGATGGCCTTCACGCTGAGTGCATCGTGTAATCAGATCAGATACATAACTGTGATGAGTTTAATGGATTTCCTCAAATAAAAGCCTTCATTTGACCTATTGCCTAGGGCACCGAGCTTTTATTAATTCTGATCACTCATTAGAATACATTTTAAATCCAGCAACACGTTTCAGAGTCAAACCAGGATTATATAAACACAAATGCTTGTGAATCGACTCCTGCTGCTTTTAAACAACTTTTCCAAAATCTCTGACTAATGTTTAAATCATATTCTTCCTCTTTCCTTCCCACAAAGATGCAAATACACGGCGTTAGGCTGTTGAAACACGTTTTAATTACCTGCTGAGAATCAAATTTAGTCGTAAAACTGTATTTATAGTGGCGCTTTTACTGAAAAAAATGTGCCTGCATCAGCGGAGCACACTGACGTGGAATGGACTAAAACAAATAAATTATGCTGAATCTTTGTAGGAGGATGTCGCGAGACTTTGATAAATGCTTCAACAAAACAATCTGTGGCAAAACCCCAGTTTTTATTTGAGGAAATTCGTTGTTTGTTTCGTCTTTTCCCACTTGGCCGTCCTGTTTTACTGTGTTGTGAGAACGACTGACTGTGAGATGAGAAAACGGTGAATTCTGGGGAGACGGTTGTTAGAATTTTACATGAACTCTTTATCCCCGTTTGTTGGTACAGAAATGTAACGGTCACAAGTGTTTTTGTTTTGTTTGGTTAATCATGAAGTGACAGATGAATTATGACTAAACCAACACTAGTAGATATAAACTACACATTTACCTAAATAATCCTAGAAAGCTGTGCAGAAGTTAACTTTACCCTCTTAGTGAATTTAGAAACTGTTTCACTAAATTCACTTATGACTTATATCCAATATATCAGTGTTATTTACCTGCTGTTAACTGTTGTAATCTACACTACTGGAATTTCTGAATGTGTTTAGAGTGTGCTACTTTATTTATTAAAAATTTGAAAGTGTTTCACTAACCATACATCAGTGCAAGGAACGCTACTTTGTAAGATCTAGTTGTAAAACCTATTCCGCCCTGTATTACCTGTCATTTACAGCTGATGAAAGGAAAAGCTTGGATGATTTGGGGAGTAAATATGTGGTCGTGTGAGTTTGCTGTTAGATCGGAGCGGGGCGATCCTGCGTTGGAGTTGACTGGAAACAGAAATCCAAGAATTATTTTCCTGGAACGATGAAACAAAGGAAAATGGAAGATATCAGATTAGGGCTTTATTATACGTGCAAATTTTAACAAACTATCAATTGTGGAGTGTTGCAAATGCGGCCTTAAAAATGTAAATTATAGCTCAACAGTGCAGCGTACAGCAGTGTTGTATAGGTGTGTCAGTTTACACCCATGCAACCAGTTATTCATGTCTGAGGAGGTGTGTGTGTGTGTGTGTGAGGCTACAGGGGGAGGCTATGGTGTACACACAGCTGAAATGGCTGAATTCACTAGCTTATTTTTGGTCAATAACTTGTGAAATCCTTTTGGTGCATTAAAAATGTCGCTTATAGTCGAGTAAAATGCGCTTAATACAAAATTCAGCCATAATCTCAAAGGTCTTGTTTTATGCTGTTTGAGTCCTCCTGCATCTCTGTTTAAAAATACTTTTGTTTTCACCCGTTTATTACTTGAAATTGTTCTTAAGCTTCACCAGAAAGCCTGACGAACGTGCTCTAATGTGCACAAGTTTCACAAACTAAAGTTAAAAATATGATTAGAAATGACACAAAATCTGAAATGACAAAAAAGGGTTTCAGGTACTTTGACTTTTAGACTTGTCTGCATTAAAGTGAGGTTGCCTGCAGAAGTTATAGGTTATGATGACAGAGATGCATCTGAAGGACATTTTGAAGATTTTCAGTGTTTAATTATGTTGGATTGTGAGCGTAAGACTTGTGGTCTAACTATTTTATTAGAGTACCTTTACTGGACACTTGTAGATGTCAAAAGACCATTTTGGTTAGAGGTGGCTGTTCTGTCAATGAAGAGGCTTCACAACATTAAGTTCCATTTTACTGGATTTGAGTTTTAGGGGCGGGAATTAATACGTTTTTATCAATATCAATGGCATTGTAGATTGTGTCTATTGATCCAATTCTCTTATCAATTCCAGATTACAGATCGCAAAAACTAACTGCGCACAGCTCCTGCGTTATAACAGTTTCTTTATGATAATTAATGAGTTGTACCTGTATCGGTTGGAAATATCTTTCCAAATGTTCTCCTTTAAGCTCGTCTTCTTGTTTGGTGCACAGGTCATCACAGGTCAGACCTTTGTCCCTGGAGTCTGCTAGTGTAGAGGTAAATGACGCTAACATGATAGGCAGTGCTAGGTTATTAGTTACCAGAAGTATTAACAGGAGAGGATGTGCAAACGTCACCGCTGCTGCTGTGTTGATATTCACTAGTCCAGAGCGAGTCAAAACACGTCAATAACTTAGTTTTAGCGTACTTTGTGCCCAACAGCTTTTGTATATTCTGAATGCTTCCTTCCTTGATGAAATATCTACTTTGCAATTCTTGCAAGTTACCCTGTTGTCTTGTTTTCTTGTAATGTATAACCAAACTTTCGAGCGTTTGTGCCGCTTAGACGCCATGTTTCCTGCTTCCGTAAGCTACGCAACATGCGCGATGACGTCATTGGCGCCGACCGGAATTGATGAGGGCAATCATTTGCAAAAGTGGCGAACGATTCCTAAGGATTCAACCAATGGGAACCGGTTCTCAACAAGAACCAGTTTTCGATTCCCAACCCTAGTGAGTTTAGACAAAACGTGTGTATGGTCTGTCCCTGATTGGCGTATGTCATTGGAATCACAAGAATCCCAGCGTTCCATTTATGTAAAATATTTTTTGTACATTGTAAGTACAAATCTGCTATTAAAAAGACAATGAAGGCCTATCATCACGTTCAATAAATTTGTCCAACCCCAACCTCACCTGCAGATTAAAGGTGTGGTTTACTGTTTATTCAATACAGTGTTGTCTAGTGTCAATCAAAGCCTTATGAGTAATAAAAAAAAAAGGCTATGACGCTCCTGTTCTGAGATGCAGCCTTCCTGCAGGCAGGCACAAGCCAAGATGGGTGAGGTCGTAAATGCAAATTTACAGTGTGACATCACAGTGTGAGGATTTTCAAATCCTAGCATTTCACCATCTATTTTTTATCATAATCTGTCACAGGATATAGGAGGAGGAGATAGTTTTCATGTTCAGCTTGCATGAAAAACTCCAGATTATACTCAGACCGATTTAAAAGATGGTTTTTCAGTCAACCACACCTTTAAATGCCTGCATTGATGTGATCGAATCTGTCTGCTTCATGTCTGGATCGGAGCTCTGTCTGGCGATCACACCAGCTGTGTGCACTCATCATCCTCATGCTGCGAAACTAAAAAAGTAGATCCAATCACTTCCAGACACATAACTGTCCATTTTTATTGTGCATAAACTGGATTTATGTTGTTTTTTTTACTGGCTGCTGGTAGATGATTACCTGTACCAGGTGCATGGCTTGTTTTGGGGTTTTGCTGTTAAGGGTTTCTGTTGGATTTGTTGGACTGGTGCTTCAAACAAACATAAGGAACTCAAATTAGAAAATATTAGCCAAGTTTACATGCGCACAATTAATCAAATTGAACGCCCAATCAGATAAAAAATTCTGCATGTAAACATGTCAATCGGAATGTTCTGATCCGATTCGGCCCGATCGGAATAAAATTTCAATCCGATTGAAAGAGGTGGTTTTGTCCGATCATCATTCCGATTGATGTGCATGTACACAGCCTTTTGGATTGTTGGAGAAAATAAATGCCCACTGTGCATGTGTGCAACAGCTAGCAAGCCTCCCTGTTGTCATTTAGACTTCCTGACCTAGAAAATGACGGCCTAATTAACGAGCACCGACTTTTTAATTTGATGGCAAGCCGTCCCCGTTTCTGTAATTTCTAATTCAGAACATTTTGTGGAAGTAAAATGAAAATCTGATTATTGCAAAAATCATTCTGCAAACGTGTTTGAGTCTGTACTGGATATACGCAGATTCATTTTGTGTTTGCAGCTCAGATCCTCGCTTCTGTGAATGCAGCAGGTGGATGGAGGCGCGCTCAAATAGAAGACTGAGTAACACCGGTTAATCAGACCTGGTTTGAGTTTACGGAGTCTGATGTTGAGTAGAAGAACATCCTCAGTTAAATATTCTGGGCGACTATCTGTGTAAAAGCACGTTAACGCAGATTAGATAAGATGCGGTTCGTTTAACACATAATGAACACGGGCTTCCAAACTTTCTGAACATCTCCTGTTGTTTAGTTTGAACCAAATTTTCTCGACGGTTTCAGCTGATTGTCACATTTTATTAATAATAAGCCACAACAGAGCTCAGTCATAACACGCGAGTCTGAACCGCCACCCTCCACTTCGCTGCACAGCCATCACGTCAGACCCGCGGACCAGCCGATCAAGAGGCAGAGAAGAGGGTAACCCTCCCTTATCTTAATATCGCCAACAATAAAATGCAGCAAAGCATAAATCTGCAGTTATTCACTGGAGAAAACTTCTATGAACAAATAAAAACATTAAATTGATTAAATGAATCAGGAAAGCAGGAAGAATTGTTTTTCTGTTTTTACGTTTTTCATTTTGTTTCATGATGGTGGTTTACATTTTTTTTTCCAGGAAAGAAAAGTGCGCATGCTCTCCCTATTTAACCTGATTGAATAATTGATAAACTCTCGGCATGATCGGATCATTTCAGTTAGTGTGCACGTAAACAGAGATTCGGGAGTTACAACCAACTAAGATCTGAATCGGATTGGGGAAATTTGGCGTATGTAAACGTGGTTATTGATGGAGTATCCACTTCTTGCCTTAGCTTCATTTCAACAAAATAATTATATTTTCCAAATTTCTCATCTTCCTCAATCAGACAGCATTTACTGATCAAATATAAACACCTTGCATGCACTAATATTTCACTTCTTTATTTTGGCTGGTTTGACCCAGACCCTATCTACAAACATGAAATGATTAGTTGAGGTGGCTGGAGGGTTAATAGACTACAGATCTTAACTTGTAGAGAGTTTTTAAGCATTAGTGAAGTAATTTGTAGATTAAAAGGAAACGTTTTACAACATGTGGGGTAATTATCTGTACTAATTAAGTTAATTAGAGGATTCTCTTTATGAAATTAAAGTCGGTGCATTGTGCGGAATAAACGTAACTTTTATTCCACAACATGATCACAGTTACACTTTAACTCTCATTTAAGGTATTTGAAATTATACCATGCTTCCAAATATAACAGTGATTGTTCTGACATGAATTTGAATATGTTTGTCCTCAAAATAACCAAAACAATGCATGTTTAGACAAAACAACAACGTGCTAAACATTTACAGCGTTTGTTCAAGTCTCTAGTCTTCATGTTTCTTATCTTGTCAGGTTTGTAATGTCCATTTTGGGTATTTCCTATTTCCTGCATGTTTTTCTGATGTTTTTTAAACTATAAGCTATGTGAATGTTTGATCTCACCAAGTAAAGCATTTAGTTCCAAAGGCACTGTGCTGATTTTTGGTTATTATATACCTCTGCTGTTATTTATGAGAACTTATATGTAAAACATTTTACAATAATTACGTCCTTATTTTAGTTTTCAGCCTGTTTTTACTGCTTTATTATGATGATTCATTATGTAGCCATCAAATGTGATTTTGTCCCAGTTCATTTGACCATTTGGGTATTTTCTATGCTCAGCTGCATCAACATCAGTCTGTGAATTAAGTTGTTCCATGGAGACGTAGCAGCATCGCTGCTGAAGTGTTGCGTGCAGTAAAGTTACATTTTGTAATCAAGAGACAAAAGTTGTTTGTGTCGGGATCCATTTTTTAGATTTATCTGTAGCAATGCTTGTTGTGTGTGGAATAAAATAAAGAGTTGGAGAAAGAAAACGACTTCTGCTTCTGCTTTTTTTTTTCACACAAACGCATCATCCTGTTTGTCTTTAAGGTTGTTATATCTCCCTTTTTTTGCTGGAAAACTTTCACAGTTTATTTTTCTGTAAATTATCAGTAATTCAGGTTTTATGTCACAGATCTCATACGTAAACAACTTGATTTTATGTTTTAATTGGTTACATTCATATATTTATATATTGTCCCAACATGTTTAATGCTTAAAATCAAATGCAGTATTGAGTCTGATGTGTACTCCAGGTATGTGGAGGGATCCTGCAGTAGTAGTAGTAGTAGTAGTAGTAGTAGTACAGTAAAGTACATATTTAAGGTTCATCTTGATTGCTGGTAGTACACCACTCTGTTGCTCTTGTGTTGCAGATACCTTCTAGGCAGCTCTGCAGCTCCTCCCTTCAGCTGCCAGCCTCCTTGGCTCACCCCCAACACGGCAGCCTCCTTCTTTCCCTCCCCGCCGCCCAACCTCCCCAAGCGCATCAGCCGCCAGCACGAACCCCGCGAGCACAAGGCATCCCCTTCCACTCTACCCGGACGCCTGAGCAGAGTCCTTTGCCTCGGAACAGCCCCATCACTCACAAGGACAGGTAGCAATCAAACCTCACTTTGAAGGAACAGTTTAATATTTCCTCCTTCTGGTAATTTTGTTTTTTTTCCCCCCAGATTCTGGTTATCTGTTCAGTGGTAGTAAACCCGCCTCACTCTACAAGGACTCAACATCATCTGGTAACTATTATTAACCTTTTAGATCCTAATAATTAGGGATGCACCGATACCAGTAAAAGTTGACCGGTACCAGGAACTGATGCCAATGCAGTTGCTTGAAAGTGGCTTCACTGTAATTGTCATTTCTGTTCACCTAATATTTTAGTTTTGTGATCATTTCTATTCATATATTTTGCTTTTTATCTACCTCTCAGTCTTTTCCTGTTGGAAAGCAGAGAAGAAAATAAAACCTGTGTTCCAATTCATAGCATTTTTGTGTGTGGTAGAAGTATCGGTATCGGCAAGTACTCAGATCCAAGTATCGGTTTGGAAAAAGGTGGTGTGGTTGCATCCCTACTAATATTATGAAGCTTCCTGTTTACCAGACTGATGTTTTCCCCTTTTTGTTTGTTGTGAACAAAGACTACTTCTCCATGAATTCGTGGAGCCGCCCGTCATCCCCAGGTCCGTCTCCGACTCCTTCAGTAGCTGGGTCAGTTACGTCCAGCTCCGGTTCTGCCAGACAGCGCCGTCCCCTCATCAGTCCAGCTCGTCTCAACCTCAGCAGGCAGAAACACCGGCTGTTCTCAAGAGAGCCAGAACCGAAGCTCATGTCCCCTCCGCTGTCTCCATTCCCCTTCTACGTAGAGCCGGCACTGTCGGTCTACAGTGGCTGCGTCTCTCAGGACGTTTCTCCTTTTCAAAGTCAAAACGGTAAGTAGAGCTCAGGCTGACCTGGGATTCATATTTTACACATTTTATTTTCTATTCCACCACCAGAGGGCAGTGTGAAACCCTGATCTTGTACTTAGTGACTTTATTTTGGGTATTTGTGATTAAACTTGCTGCTTTTATTCACAGATCTGAGTTCCTTAACGAGAGGCCGGCGTGTGTTTGAGGAGGAGGAGGAGAAACGAAGCTGCTCCTCTGAGTCTTCCGCATGTCTGGTTGGCACGACGACACAAAGTCCTGAGGCATTCACTCCTCCTAGAGGTTAGCCGCCTTCTTTTAAAAGAATCTGAAAAGCTGGTCAGATTATATTGTGTGATGAGTTTACTTGAATGGGTTAATCTGTAAAACGGACAGTGGACAAAATGGTTCTGATGTGTGTCTCCAGGTTTTGTGAAGCGTCTCATCTGGGCCGGGCTTTTGTTTGTGAGCCTGACATCCAACCTGCTGTTTGCCTGCTTCTTCGTGTACCACAGGTCGAGATGAAGCATCTTTCATCCTGCTGCTGTTCCCTCATGAACTATAAAAAGTCTGAGCCTCTAAAAAAACAAACTGTGTGAGAAAAACGGCAGAAGGATCCTCTGGTGCTGCCGCAGCCTGTTTCAGGCTCCTTATTTATTGTTCAGCCGAAACACGAGCGCCATTTACTGCTGTAACACTTTAACGTCTCCATGTGTTTCCTTTTCCAGTCGCTCAACAATAATTAGTTCTTTTTGTTTTTACTTGCTGGCTGCATGTTTGATATAGTCAGAGGCGTTAAAGCTAACAGCTTTTGACTAACTCTGCAGTGTGATTACTTTGAGTTTGACTTGTTTTATTTTGATTTTTTTAGTTTCTTTTAAGCAAAATTGACTTTTATTAAGTTTTCAGAACAACTTGAACTTGCTGAAAGACTGTTAAGTGACGTGTTAGACTGTCATGAAGCGGCCTTAGAAATTGATGAATGTATTCTGTACATAACTATTTCTACTGGATGTGCAGCCTCTGTGCATGTTTTCTTTCTCTTTGGTCGCTCTGTTATTTAAAAATGTTACATTTGAAATTAAAGATGTTCTTTCACGTCTCTAAAAATGTTGTGCATCAAACAAAACTCCTTTTTCATCGGTTTTCAAATTTATCAGATATTTTTAATGTAATTACAGTATTTTACATCCTTTGTGGGAGTTTATATCATCACAATGTCAAATCGATAATGTCACCCACACATGATAAATGAAGACGTCTTTATTGTTCACACTACAGTTCCTTTGTTAAAGACTTGTTATTTTAATGTTCTGTGCAAATATGTTGAAAATAAATGTCTATGAATTTAGATGGCTTGAGCTTCAGAAAACATTTGTGTGTCGCCCCCTTGTGGCCATAAAACATTTTACACAAAGTGGTAATCCAATAGTTTTGACTTGATTTTACCTTGTTGAGTGCACAAACAGAGTCAAAAAGATGCTGGAAAACACTGAGCTAAAGAGTAAGGATGAGTTTTATGTAGTTTCATTGCTAAAGTATAATCTACGCATACCAGATTTAATCCCTATCGTACCATGAATACAATGAAGCAGAGGTCTATAAAGAGCAGGACACCCCCCACCAGAGTCTTACTCCACTCCCCACTTCCTGTTTGAAAAATGCAACAAATGCTGTTGCCTGACAGGCCGAGAAGGTGGAGCTGCTAAGAAATACATAGACAGAGGCGCGCATGCGCTGTCAAAATAAGCAATGTGCACCTGAAAAAAAGCTGCAGCACGCATTTGCGCACCTAAGACTTTGTGGAGGAAGGAAGACCTTTCTGGAGCATTTTAAAGATGTCCAAGAAGCAAGCTCCATTAAGTAATTATTTTGGTGTTCCTCCGCCTCCAAAAAAACGTCCGACTGAGTCAGAACCGCAAAAGAAGAGTATTCGTAGAGAAGTGGCTGCAGGAGGTCGGCTGGCTTCAAACAAACAATGAACGCACAGAGATTTGGTGCAGATTATGCCGTGAAAATCCCACCCTCGCAGACAAAAACAGCGCCTTTTACATAGGCACTAAAAACTTCAATCATCCAGTGTTTGATAAGCATACTAACAGCAGAGAACATCAGAAAGTTGTTCGGGAAGTCAATAATGAAGCTGAACGCAGTCAGGACCATGATGAGGATGACGAGAGTCTGTAGAAATAAAAACGGCATTTATGCCATTTAAAAAACTTCTGTGCTCTGAAATAGTCATTTTGTTAAGTGCTTTAAAAAAATTTGTTATTATCACAAAAGCAGCTGTTTATACATTGTGTTTTACATTCAGACAATTCAGTCATGTTATTTGAAAATTAGGTTTAAGTTAAGCTGGCAATATATACCTGTTGTACTTATTGTTTTCAGACAAAATTAAAATATGTTGCATCATCAACGCGTTACTCTGTTTTGTTCCTATTGTGAGTTGAGTTAAGAATTAAGTGAATGTGAGAACAAAGCAGCAACCATAGGTTCTCCCCTGAGTAACCCAAAAATATCATCTGCACCCCTGTACATAGACTCACCATGACACTGTGACATCATAATGTACCAGCTAATGCGTGCACCTCTTAGCCAATAGCAATGGCAGATTTAAATTCAAATGCATTGCAGAGTTTTTATTTGAACAAAGTACAACACTGACAGTTTTAGTCAGAATATTTAAATTTTCACTAAAATTCACTCAAGGGCCAAATTACTGACTACACGATTCTACAGGTTGATTAGACACTCATTTATATAGTTTATCAGCAAAAACAAGTTGTTTTGGGGTTGATTTGCTCTTTAAACTGTATTGATCATCAGTTGGAGAATAAATGTCCTAATTTTATTTCATTGTAGGCTAACAATGAGAGTTATTCACACAACTATGTGTTTTGTATATTTCTTTCATTCATGTCCCTGATTTAGCATTTTTCTTGTCAGGTTTATTTAAGCATCTCAAACATTAATTGTATTAAAACGCCTCATTTCCTTTCCTTCTAAAAAGTATTTGTCAGTTTCTTCGGTTCTTTTTATTTTGTCCTAAAATAGCTGAAACTTTTTCTTCTTCCCTTTTCACAGGTTGGATCATGGACCTTTCCTTATTCCTTTTTTTTCTCAGAATAAAGTCTTATTTTTACTCTGAACTGATCTACATAACCTTTCCTAATCGAAGGAGGAAGCCTCTTTTGAATTTTAACAGAAAATGAGAACTAAATAGGAGACATAATCAAGATTTCTCTCACTGGTTTGCTCGTTACATGATGCAAACTTTAGATTTGTCTTTAGATTAATTTCCTGTGAACTGAGTTAGAAATGGGTCCCTTAGAGCCAGTTTCTGCTCCGAATGGCCCACATAAGAGCAAACTTCCCTGAACTCTAGAAGTCAAACAAATCAACGTAAATGTTTAGTTGTACCATCTTGGCTCAGCGTTGAAACACTGGCTCAGTCTTAATGAGTCTACCTGCAGAAACTACGGATTAACTAAAAAATAATTACCTGTGACATTACCATGACACTGCTCTGTGTTGAATGGCTTGATAGGATAGTTTGTGCTTTGATCAGCAATGACCATGGGGTCACAACTTTTATTTTGTAGGAGCAAAGCTGAAAAGATAGAGAACCATGGCTTAAAATGTAAAATCAAGCAGATTTTGAGGAACCGGTTTAACCTCAGGGAAAAGCTCAACAACAGATGATGAAAGCATGGAGTGAATATATTTAAAATCCCTTTTCTTTTTTAGTGTACATGTGCATTTCGTTGATCTCTTTTCCTTTGTAAATTGAAAGAAAACACATCAACCTGGTTTGTTTCAGTTTGTCTTTAGTGGAGGAAGTGGAGACCCTCTCACATCCCCCACCACACAACTGTGGGTTAGCTAGTAAACAGAACACACTCATGAACAGTTGGGTGAGGAAATGCATTGTTGGGTCATCTACTGATGATAGATAAACAACTGTAAATCTATTTTAATGATGGTAGAATAAAATTCAGATTTTAGGTTTCCAGTCAAAGCAGAGAGAACTGTGATTTTCTAAAAAAATAAATAAATAAAATAAAAAGGGGGTCTTCTTGGCAGCTTGTTTACTGATGGTGGAAAAAACAATTCAGTGGTGCTCTAGAGTGAAAGGATGGGAAGTTTATTCATGTTTTGAGTCTGGCCCAAAAGTTTCTCTTCTGCACGATCACTTCCTGTTTTTACCAGCCGGTCTGAATTGAACTCACAAACTCAGGTTGCATTTTTCACTAAAACTTGATACGATCTCATGTGTGTCGGGAAGTAAACAACATTAAGTTCAACAACATCGAGTGTCGAAATAGACTCTGAGCGATAAACCAAACTGCATACTAAATATGTGTTTTTTTTTAAATTATTTATTTATTTTTGGTTAAAAACTGTTTTAGGAGCACATTCAAAGGGTTGCGAGGTCATGTGATGTCATATCACCCCTCATGCTACTGAAGCTGGCCCTTTCATTTCCCCTTTTTACTGTACGTTGTGCTGATGTGGCCTGTGTTGTTTGTAATGAACGCATTATTATTCACTGCTGCAAGCGTAACTCATTGGGAAAAAACCTTAACAGAAAATCAGGGTTTCTTTAACTTTAAATTAAAATCTGCTCTTCATGTAATTAAAGAAAACCTCGATTGCCTTGAATTCCTTTCATGATATAATCTCCTTTATTAATTTGTTCTTACGGCACAATCCCGACCTTTCATGTGATGCTTGCTCCACTACAATATTATCCACCATTTTCACAGAAAAGAAACAGGAGAAAGGACAGAAGGGGAAAGCGTACATTCTGTAACCATAAATCCCGTTAGACGTATTTTCTTTCTCTTTTTATTATTACTGAGAAAAATCTGCCCTAATTTGATCAAATTTATAAAATTCTTTCTTAACTTGAAGTGAAACTGACAGTAAAATGCTTACGTTTCATTTTTTTTATTTGAAGCATTAAAATTTAAAGGACTTGTCTTTATTGTTTCCTATTATTTCAAGAGTGCAAAATGATATCTGCATGTTAATGCTTGTCATCGGTAATTTATTCTAAACAGAAGCAGCTCAGTGCATCAAAATGAATGTTTCATGTGTTTGAAAGGTGAAGTCTAAAAAATCATGTTTGGAATTGTTCATTTTTTACTAATTTCTTTGTTTATATCTTTGTTGCCTCTGTGCCTCAGGGCTGTTGTAACTATAGCTCATCACCATCAGTGCGTTAATGTGTGTGTGAATGGATGAATGACAAACGAAGATAGTATGAAACGTGTCATTTAACCCTCCCACTGTCCTAATGGGTGTGACCCCGTGAGGAAAGTTGACCATTGAGTAGGATTGATGGTTTATCCCTTGGGTCTATGTGGCAGGGGTGAGAAGTGAGCACCACATCACCCCTGCCACGTGGACCTCAAGGGATAAACCATCAATCCTGCTCAATGGTCAACTTTCCTCACGAGGTCACCCATAAAGACAGTGGGAGGGTTATTATTCATCAGATCCAAGAAAAACCAACAAATTCTTAGTAAAAACATTTTCCAGCCGTAAAATCAACAGATTTGATAGAGCTGCTGTCAACACAGCAGCAATGCTGTACCTTAGACTCTTATTTTAAGTCTTAATTCCTTCAACAAATCATTAAAAAAAGTTTAGAAACAGGTGGTGAGCACACAACTTCTAAATAAAAATCTGTAGGTGGATGCTTGGCTCAACAAATAAGATACATGTTTAAGAAAAAAAGCATTCACTGTAAAAAATTGTTATGTCAACATTTCATCTATTTCTTGATTGATGAGTTAGTTAGTTAGTTAGTTATTAGTTAGTTAGTTAGTTTGTTTGTTTGTTTGTTTAAGGTGGTTTACTGATTGTTTTTTATTACAAAGGTTGCTGGTTTTGAACATGGCCGAATGCTGATCTGACAAAATAAATCCCAAGCAGTAATACATTTCTGTTTATCCTAATGCACGTTAAAAAAAGAGAAATTTAAAAAAATTTATGTTACTCAACATAAACTTTTTCGGGGAAGATTTAGGAATTTTTATTTATTTATTGCTGCCATAATAATAAATTGTAAATGATATAAAAATGAAAAAGACATTAATACATTTGTAGTGAATTGTGGATACATTGTTTATCAATAAACTTGATATAATTTTTATAAATGTTCTATTAACTAAGTGAATAATATTAAATATTAATCGGGTTTAGTCTCTAACTCTTAATAAATAATAATAACGTGTGTTTACGATGTATATTTGCTGGGGGTTGTTTAAGGGGTGCACACTTCTTTTGCGCTAGGTCTGAGTTCGACACTTTTCAGACGGTCCCTTGTAGCGGCGCGAGGCTGCGCGCTGCGGCTCCGTCAGTGCAACAGCGTCACCGCATGAATGACAGCGCAGCGCATCGGGAGAGAGACACTTCAGCACCGCGTCACACGAGCCGCACGGCCGCCGGTCGTCTGTGCAGGTGGATCCAAACGGACGGATTCCCGGTGCGTCTCTTCCTGGTGTTCCAGCTTTCACCTTCACTGTGGTAGAATCATGACGAGGTGACCGGAGCGGAGCGCTGACAGGCAAGTGTGTGTGTGTGTGTGTGTGTGTGTGTGTGTGTGTGTGTGTGTGTGTGTGTGTGTGTGTGTGTGTGTGTGTGTGTGTGTGTGTCTGTGCGCCAACAGGTTGGCAAAGCTTTTGCCATCAGTTGTTTTCAGAAAGCTCGTGTTTTCTTTTTTTTTAACTTCAAATATTTAACATTTTCTCTTATAATCCTCAAAATAATCAACATTTTATTTTTATTATAGCTTACATCATCCAACTGGGATTGATTTGTCACGTTTTATGAAGAAGTCTGCTTATCTGTCTTTAAAATGAAGGCAGCTCACCCAGCAGCACACGTTTCCTCTTACCAAAATCAATGGGGTAGAATTACTTTCAGGCTCTAAAACTGTTCAGTTTGAAGGAAGCAGAAGCAGTTTCAAATGAGCCGGAGCTTTATGCAACGTAGAATTCAGAGAACTGGAGTTTCTTTTTGTTTTACCATATTTGGCCCTTTTATCTCTTTCTGACATCATTAAAACTTAAAGCTGCATGTTAGAAACTGACTCAATAATCTGCATGAAGACAGTGCTGTTCAATTTTTGATTTGATTCATTTCCGTTAAATCTGTTATAATAAAAGCAGTTTGTTTATGTTTAAATCTTGAAACTACATTTGTGTCCAAAGTGAGCAAGTGTAAAGAGTGAACCTGTTAACCCGGTGGCCGTGCTTCCTCTGGGTGGACTTGTGTTCCGATCAGCAGCAGGGGAGCTGACAGTAAATGAGAGGCCATCACCATGCCCCCGGGGAAGTATGGGATGCAGGAGGAGTGGGAGAAGGAGGGGGACCAGAACATCCTCATGGATTTCCTGCTGCCTACCGGGATATTCCTCAAATTCCCTGTGCCTCGGAACGACACCATCAAAAACATCAAAAAGGTTTGTGTCCTCCCATTAGAAAAAACAGGACAGAAAACAGCTCCTTGCTGGTCCAGAAGGTTGGATCATGAGATAATAAACTGTCATGCTTTGTCACCACTGGTCATACACAATCTGCCTTTGAGCACATTAGTTGAATTAATATTTCCTTCAAACATTTAAATCAATTGAAACGCACCAGTTTAAAGCAATGACTGGTTTTGATCTGATTATGGGAAGAGGAGCCACAGCTCTGCTGTGAAATGTTAGCAAGCCAACAGTTCTGCCTCTTCACGCTGTTGGATTTAACAATTTATTGTTACTAAGATTTTGACAAAAATGTTCTGGATTTTTTGTTTGTTTCTTTTTAAATGTGGCATCGCTTTTGGTTCGTGATGGTTTCAGATGGTTTGGAGAAATGCCAAGACTGAGGCCCTGTACTGTGGACTGGGTGACCCCGAAGGGTACGTCTTCACCTGCATCAATGACACGGCGGAGAGGGAGGAGCTGGAGGAGGAGTCGAGGCGGATCAGCGACGTGCGGCCTTTCATGTGCGTCCTGAGGCTGGTGGCCAGAGAAGGAGACCGGGGCGAGAAACTCACCAACTCTCACATCAGCTCGCTAATCGGAAAAGGTCAGCTGCATCTGATTAGCAGACAAAGCTACTTGTGATGTTGGTGTTGAAATATTTATAACATTAGATAATGACGCACGTCAAGTCTTTTCAGTGTCTGCAGTTCTATTGCTGAGGAAATGAAAATATCTATAAATACATATGTGTGTGTTCACATACATCTTTTTTATTATGGAGTTCGGATTGGGACAATATTACATGTAAATTGTACCAAGTTATGTAACTTGTAACATATTTTGTTACTGTAACTTTCTTTTTGTAACACGTTGTTCTTATTTTGTAAAATATTATTTGGCTTTGTAGCATGTAATTCTTGTCTTGTACCATGTAACTTTCAGAGCTAACATGAAACTTTCATTTTGTAACTTTCTGAAAAAAAAGTATTTTTTTTCTGCAAAAACTCTCATAACACACATTTCAGTATACAGTTATACAAAACTCAAGTCTATGTACAAAACATTTTGTCCCGATTCTAGCTTCCTTCCTAAGGAACCACTGACGAGAATGACATGCTACAAAATGAAAGTTATGTGTTACATATTGAGAATTTCATTTTACAAAATAGAAGTTCTGGGTTACAAAATGAGTTTTATGTGTTACAAAATAAAAGTTACAGTTGCCAAACATGTAACAAATTACAAAACTTTGTACAAGTTACATGTAATATTGCCCCAATCCTAGCTCCATAATTTATTTATGTAATAACTCATTCAAATAGTTGAATAACTTTTTTTCCTGTGTTTATTTTAAGATTAACAACCTGGAAATTGAAAGTAGATTATATATATATATATATATATATATATATATATATATATATATCATTATAGAAGACAAGATTGTCAGATTTATTTAAGCTACATGATTTCAAAAAAGAAAAGACTTGTTAGAGCCATTTTTTCTGATTCAAGGTTAACCACTTCCAGAAAGATCCACAATGACTTGTGTTTTTTTTTTTTTTTGTTTTGTTTTCTTTTTCTCAACAAATCATCAGGTCTGCATGAGTTTGAAGCTCAGAAGAACCATGAGGTGGATGAGTTTCGGTCCAAGATGCGTACGTTTTGTGAGGAGAAGGCGCTGGAGCGACATAATCTGCCATGGCAACAGTGGATGGAGTACAGCTTCCCATGTGACCTGGAGCCATGCTGCTCCCCTCCGGTCCACGGGGGCACCAAGTCCAAACACACCAAGAAGCTTTTCATCAATGTCAAGTTTGAGGCTTGTGATGTGAGTTGAGTCATGATGTGTGAAGTCCACAAAGAAACTTTAATTGAATGGAAAAAAAAACTGTTGTTCCATTTTGTGTAGAATAATTGTGGAGGATGATTTTATAGAAATCTGAGCACCTTTGGAAACCCCCCTCCCACTGCAGCAACACAGGCTCCTAATTTCTCACATGATTTTGTATTTTTTAGGAAAGCTTTATGCTGCAGCAGGACCCCCTGGACATCCCGGTGGCTCTGATGAAGAGCGCCTTGAAAAAGAGGGCCACCGTTTTTCGATCGGTGCGGCAGGAGCCTGAGGACTACACCCTACAGGTCAGCGGGAGGTGGGAATTTATCTACGGGAACCACCCGCTGAGACAGTTCAAGGTGAGTCGCATTAGCAAAATTAAATAAAACTTGCTATTGACTATAAACATCATGGCAGCGAGTTTAAACGTTTTCTGATTTATACTCTATCTGTTTAGTTTAGCTTTAGAGCATGAAAACGTTTGCATGCTGCATTTATAACAAATGTGGTGAATTATTTTATCAGGACTGATCTTATTTCGACTGAACATTTCCACCTCCTCCTACTTGTCTCAGAGACGGAGCTAAAATATCAGAACAAAGTTCATGTTTCCCTAAAGCTCTGAAGAAAGTTTGACGCAAACGCTTTGGGCTCGTCCTTTATCTTTTGCTGGATGTGTTTTTCTCCAGGAGGAAGCCGAGTTCAGCTCCTGAACTGCCTGATTTGTGAATTTTTTTTTTCTTACACTCATCAGCATCCACACAAAACAAACTCCCATAATTCCTGCCTGGTAGAGAGTTTGGCATGACTCGAACAGAGAACGAGCAGCTGTTTTGCATTATGCCATTTTTCAGCAATCACATGATCAATCAGAGCAGAGGGGGTCTTTAGTGGGGGGGGGCTTAAGGAGACAGGAGCTGAAACAGAACGCTTCAGTTCTGCAGAATGAAGAAAAAACGGGGAGATTTGTGAGCATCATATGCTGCACATACAGCAATAAAGCCAGTCTCATGCTCCTCCTCCATCATTTTTGCATTTTGCTGCTTTTGTTTCAGCCGCTCCAGACTTCTGGACCGGCTGCAGTAAACAGTCTGCGCAGATGTCAGTGATTTCCGTCCAACTCTGCGTTGCCACCATGAAACGTCTCACAGAGCTGCTAGCTGCCTCCATCACTCATGTTACACCCGCCCCATGCAGATCTTCATCTGGGCCTTTTTTATGTCCTCACGCTTACGATATTTAAACTTTCCCCTTTGATCTTCAGTCAAAGATGACAGTTTTCTGCTGCGTCGTTTCAACACTGAAGCCAAAAGTTAGGAGAAAAACATTATAAAGACAATGAAGCTTGCATTTCCTGGAATGTCTTTCACCTTAAAAACAATCGCTGTGTGCTAATAAAGAAACAGCAACTGTGCAGGTGGTCCACAGTAGCAGAGCCGACATGTCAGATCAAAAATGGCGTGAGTCAAGGTTTTGGTAGCAGGAGTCTCCATTGTTGATTTAGAAACTGCAGCTACCTGCAGTAGTGACTCATATCTGAATAGCAGCCCTGCAGAGGGGAGCTGCATCCAAATGTAATGAGATTTGGACTGCATTAACCTACAGCAAATGAACAGCCTTCTGGAGTTAGCCTGCGCTATCGGGGCGCTGGGAAATATCAGTGGGTGAGCTGACTGATGGCTGCACCAGTACACTCACGTCCCCTTATCCCTCCTCCCTCTCTGTGTCCCACAGTACATTTTCTCCTGTTTAAGAAATGGTCAGAACCCTCAGCTCATCATGGTGCACCACTCCACCATCAGCAAATACCAGGAGGAACAGGGCCAGCTGTGTAGCCAGGTGGGCAAGATCCGCTCGCAGTCCAGACCTCCTCCTCTGCCCATGAAGAAGGTAAAAGGATGTCTTTATTAACCATCATTAAAATCAGTTACTATTCAACCAGCCCGTGGACTTTGGCACACACTGAAACAAATGTGATGCAGCATAATGTTGATAATTTACATGCTTGACACGTAAATAAGTGAGCTATATAAAGGACAAGCTGTCTGAAGTAGTTTGTGTCAATAAATCCAATCTGAGCAGCTCTGAGCTGTCATGAGAAAAGTTTCTGACAGTCTAACATTTAAAAACTTTATTTTAAATAATTGTAAAAGTTAGTGTGCTGCATCTTTGTCACAAGTTGCCAAACAGGAAGCTGCAGTAACAGTTTCACGGGTTAAACACCAGTGAATGCAAATGTGATGGGAAGAAAAAAAGACCAAAACAAAAACAAAATACCAATTTCCTCTTCTTTTTGCTCTTTCCTACAGCAAAACACTTCCTCTCTCTGGTCCATTAATGAGCCCTTCTACATTCACCTGCTGCAGGGCAGCCGAGTCAACGCCGACGAAGGAATGAAGGTTGGTGTGGTTTCACGTAGGTTTTTCTCTCACGTCGCTGCTCAATGAAATGCAGCATTCGCTTGTTTACCAATATCTCAATTTCAGTTGTACGAATGGTGAAAATGACATGTAAATGACAGAGAGGTCACATGGTCCAAACCGCACGTTTCCCATAATTCATCAAGGCAGTTGGTTGAAACTTCAAAACAGGAAGTGGGGAGGCCTATCTGGTTTTCACGTCTCATTCTGAGGCCTAGATTCTAAGAAAAAAGGCGGTCTTCATGCTCTTTCCCCCTCTCTTGCTCTCAGATGCACCTCTTTTTTCATTTTTACGTTGCATGCACCTTGTCGTCGTTGCATGTGTTTGCAAGTTGTCAGGGTTTTCCCTGTAATTTCCCTGCAAATGATCAGCAATGGGATGTTGAAAATTGCAGTTATATCCCAATTTTTTCCATTTACTTTCCTCCACTTGAGACAAAAATAACAAACATAAATATGTGGGTTTAGAAGGATTGTCAGGGTGTTTAGAAGCATTTCCTGGTGCTGCATTTGATCTTTGCTAACTCGCACCCGCAGTCAGAGATTTTTTTAAAATACATTTTCATGTTTTTTGACAATCGGCTTGCTTTATTTACAATTGTACAAATGTATTTCATTGTTTAATAATGCCTGTTAGCTTTTTTCTAATTCCTCCTGGACTCTGTAAAACCATTGCAACTGGATTACAAATAAAGTTGAGTTGATTACTCTAAGAAAGTGTAGAACATTGACTCATGGCTTGAGTGACACAGGAAGCTCTGAATCATCTATCAGCAAAGTCTGTAACTACTCCACAAACAATCAACCGCACGTAAGTGCTAAACATTTCAGCTTGCAAACCACATGTCATGTCTAATCATCACTCTGTGTATTTCTGTCCTCCCGTCTCTCCCCCACCACCACCACCACCTCCAGCTGGTGGTGCAGGCCGGCCTCTTCCACGGCAGCGAGCTGCTCTGTAAGGTGGTGACGAGCTCCGAGGTGACGGTGTGCTCCGAGCCGCTGTGGGATCAGAAGCTGGACTTTGACATCAACGTGTCCGACCTGCCCCGCATGAGCCGCTTGTGCTTCGCCCTCTACGCTGTCATCGAGAAGACCAAGAAACCCCGCGGCACTAAGAAGAAGAACAAGAGAGCGGTGAGGTTATCTCAAACTCACTCATCTTCAAGGTGTGATTGAGTAGAGAGATGCTGGTTGCACGTTTGTTAACAGCCTCTCTCACACACACACACACACACACTCATACACAGATGCTGTTTCCTCTCCAGCGTGTGTACTCTGAGGGTGTGTGTTTTCTGCTGCGTCTTGTTGTGCAAGTGACTTCAGTGGCAACGCTGCGGTTAACATTTCATCCGCCTAAGCTCTTTTATCTGCACATTATTCCAAGGAAGGAAGGATTTCGCAAACATTTTCAAGGAAGTCTAAAATCATTCACACGGCTAACACTACAACGCCCACCCACACGCGGCTGGAGGTTTTACATTTCACTTCAACATTTAAGGCTCAGTGGACAGATGTGTGTAGGCCTAAAACGTTACCAAGCAGTTTTTTTTTAGACTGGGACTTTTTTTAGGCCTCTATCTGCAGCTGAAGATAAAGGGAATTTTTTGTTGCAAACATAAAGATCGCTGGTTGCAGGACACTAATTGAGACACCTTCAAATCAGCTCAAAATTAGGCTGTTATTGCTAAGCAACAAGAATATCTGCAAGTCCTTACCTAACAGATGATTATAGAAGATTATGAGAACTGTGCGTAGAAATCAGGAAAGTCATGTATATCCAACAAAAAGGTAATTTCGTTTTAAAAAGTGACTTTCTAATGATGATGCACTTCCAGTGAGACAGAACAAGAGTTAAGTTTGCTTTTTAGATCCTGCAGCCATGTGCACATTAACATATAAACATTGCATTACCAGTGACGTCAGCAAAGAGCTGCATGTGTCAGAATACAGAAGAAATTGTTACGTAAGTCTTGGTTGAATGTGATTTTCTGAGCTTTATTGACTCGAGATGTTTTAAAGGTCATTTAAAAAGAATAAAAACAATAACCTAAAAATTGAGATTGTTAATGTTGCCTTAGTACTTTTGAGTAAATGTCTTACTAATGTAAAAAAATGTAATGAAGATACTTTTACTTTTACATAAACATATTTTTGTTGAATTGACTTAAATACAAATTAGAAAAATTAGATTCACTTTAGATTTCTTAAACATAATTCTATTATCATGTTAAAATCCATGTTTCACTTAAAAAAACAACAAATATCTCAAAGACTGACACTTGTTCATTTTTCTTCTCAGACACTCAACTCAACTATGCAGAATTATGCATGAAAAACTTGCTTGGCTCAGTGTGAAGAGTAGATTGAAGTATTTCTTCGTAATATTTGTGAGGAAAATTATAATTACAAAAATGCCAATAATTATATAGAGCAAGTTAGTGTTTTCCCAGACAATCATACCTGTAATACACAGCAGATAAATGACATGAAAGGTGTTTCGCTACAAAGCTGTGGTTGCATGGAATACATAGATTCTTAATATTTGAAAGTAATGCAATTTCTTTTCAAAAGAAACTGAAAATTTTTTCTTTACACATTCAGTTGTATTGTGATTATGAATTCTGTAACAAATGATTGCATATCTGGTTTGAAGGCTGTAAACTAGATGTTGATGGACTATGAAGTGAAATGATGGACATGAAGCCACATACTTTATATTCAATATTAATTGGTGTGATTAGCTCCTGTCCTGATATTAGTGTGAATATGCAGTTTTGTTTCAAATATGCAACTTCATCTTGAGCTTCTTATGGATCATGTGAATTATGGATGTGTGTGTGTGTGTGTGTGTGTGTGTGTGTGTGTGTGTGTGTGTGTGTGTGTGTGTGTGTGTGTGTGTGTGTATTATTTTATGTAAGGTATTTATGGCATTGTATGAAAATGTGTGAGACCCCAGGAAGACTAGCATCTGTATTTAAGCAGAAGCTAATGAGGATCTCAGTAAAACGAAACAAACCTCAAGCTTTATTTCTAAAGAGCCTCTCAGGCACAGGGGTGACGCCAAAGCACTGTACAGACATGCATTAGTCATAACAGGACAAGGATCAAAACAAAAATAAAAACAATAAAAAAGAAATAAAAACAGCACACGAATTTCAGTAATAAAAGCAGACCAACGGCCCCGGCTAAAGGCCAGATCAAATAAAAAAGTCTTTAGCCTGACCTTAAAAACTGTCAGATAATCAAATATTTTCAGTACAAATAAAATGCAAATTTATAACTCAAAGCTGGACAAATTCAATATGCCCTACAGCAGCAGATGAGTGTGTGTTTTCTCTAACGTGAGCTGTATTCGTTTAGTTATTTCTAAAACACAAAAGAACAAAAGTCCCAGAAACAGCTCATCTTAAATCGACGTGATTAATTTTTTTAAATAGATTTTATTTCATGCTGACCTTTAAGAAAACCTGACACCTTGATTTGATTTGCATAAAAATAAATTTAGATATTAGTCGAATTTGATTGTCCTGAGCTGTTGCTTTTTGTTCAGCTTTTTGTACACATTTTTGTTAATTTTATATCTAATTATCCAGCCTCTTTCCAACAATAATTACTTCAAACTCAAATTTCTTTTCTAAAATAAGATTATACCCCAGCTGCACTTTGAGACTTCAGTAAACTAACAAACCTCTTCACACCCACTCGCTGAACAACAATAAATTCCCCTTTTTCTGCAGCTGGTCTCAGCTTCTTTTGATCTGACAGCGCTGCGTGCGGCTGCGGGTACCCCATTAGGGCCGATTTACCAAACATAGCACCCAGGTGTGTTTAAGGGCACCTAGGCCACTTCTTTTTTTGGGTCACTTCTCTCTTCTGTTGCCCGGAAGAGAAGTCCTGCAGCCAGATGCCAAAGAGGCAGAAGGAAGCTGATCTATTTTAGCTCTTCTTGTCTACTACTCTGTTTTTAACTGTGTTCATTCTGCTTTTCTCATTTATTTATTCAGCACTGTAAAAAAGAATCTTAGACACCAAAGGTTTTAGTAAATTTACCTGACATAAACAAGAATCCACTTTTTGTATGTCTGAATTGTAATATTTAAAACTGCAGGGTAACAGTGTTAAGTTTGGATGTGATTAATTACAGGAACTGCATTTGCTTCTTAATCCAGATTTGATAGAGATTATGGGGGATGATAGGTACCTTTAGGACTCAAATGACAGGATTCTGTGTCTCTAAAAGCTCCCTTCACGTTTCCAGGACTGTCCGATCGCCTGGGTTAACACCATGGTGTTCGACTACAAGGACCAGCTGAAGACTGGGGAGTTCATCTTATCCACCTGGCCATCTGTACCTGGTACTTTCTACTTCTTCTTACATTTCTTCCTCCTAATTAAAGCTCTAACACTCACATCATCCTCCACATTATTTGGAATCAAACTAGTCTGTTGTGAAAACAATCCGCCGAAAATAACCTTTAATGTGACTTTATTTACAGATGACAAAAGCGACCTTTTGAACCCGATGGGAACCGTTGAGAAGAACCCCAACGTGGACAGCGCCGCCGGGCTTCTCATTCGCTTCCCCAACATTCGACCACACCCTCTCTACTACCCTCCTCTTGACAAGGTAATTCCTCCTGAAAATCTTTTAATTTCAGCTCTGCGGTGAATTTTTATTTCTAACATTCAGACAAAAACATCCTGATTACAGATGATTGTGATGGAGAGGAACGGAGATGCTGTTTTTGCCACTAAAGTGGAGGTAAGACCATGTCATTGTACAATATTTTTTATTTTATTTTATTATATTATTGGAAATGTTTCCCTCTGACCCGATTCTCTGTTTTGACTTTTGTTTCTGTAGCGCATGAGGCTGAAAGAAATCATGGACAACAAAAACTCCACCGAATTCTTTGAGGATGAGAAAGAGCTCCTGTGGAAGCTCCGCACTGAGGTTCGTGACTGTTATCCCGAGAGCCTGTCCAAGCTGCTCCTCATCACCAAGTGGAGCAAGAGAGAAGATGTCGTTCAGGTAATGATCTGGGGGTGATTGAGCAGCTTGATCAATTAGACTGATGTCATCCCGTTGTGATGTCATACCAGCTGGCTTCATTAAAATCAGAATGATACAGCTGGCTTCATCAGTGGTGGAAATGCATCTGATGAAGACTTTCTAGGAGTTTCATAAAAACATAATTGATGTTTTACGAAATATTCTTTGGTAATAAACAGACATGTAAAAATTAGGGATGTGTGATAGTATCGGTCTACTATTAGCATTGGCTGATATCTTAGCATCCCGCTTAGGGAGAATGATATTCAGCTGCTGCTGGAGACAAAATAAACATTCCACTTTTCCTAATGAAGTAGTTGTCATTTAGCACAGAAACCTTTAAAAATGTAAACATGCATGATAGAAGATATGTAGATGTTTTAGTTTTTCCATTTTTATGTGAGGGGGACATCATATATCGGTATCGGTTTATATCGGTATGGGAAATTAAAAGTCAGCAAAATTGGTATATTGATATCGGTAAAAAAAAAAGCCAGTATCGAGCATCTTTAGCAAAAACATCATGGCTTGTGTGGTTTTGCAGAAAAAAAACATTAGATTTCCAGTTGGGGTTGGTGAGAGAACGATAACAATATACATTTAGAAATAACTTTTCCTCCTTGAACCGTCACCTTATCGTGGTGGAGGAGTTTGAGTGCCCTAATGATCCTAGGAGCTATGTTGTCTGGGGCACTTTGTGCCCCTGGTAGGGTCTCCCATGACAAATTGGTCTTAGGTGAAGGGTGAGACAAAGAACGGTTCAGATCTTTCATGAAGGTAAATTCAAAGAGTCGGAGAACCCGGCCCGGACTGGGGTCCAACCCAGGAGCCAGGCCTGGGGTTGGAGCCCGTGAGCGAGTGCCTGGTGGTCGGGCTTTCGCCCATGGGGCCCGGCCAAGCCCAGCTCGAACCGGATACATGGGCTCATCCAACTGTGGACCCACCACCCGCAGGAGGAACATGAAGGGTCCGGTGTAGTGTGGATCGGGTGGCAGACTGAGGCGGGAGGCTTGGCGGTCTGATCCCCGGACAAGGAAACTGGTTTTTGGGACATGGAAAGTCACCACGCTGGTGAGGAAGGAGCAGGAGCTTGTGGCAGAGGTTGAGCGGTACCAGGTAGATATAGTCGGACTCACCTTGACACATAGCATTGGCTCTGGAACCCAAGTCCTTGAGAGGGGTTGGACACTCTCCTTTGCTGGAGTTGCTCCGGGTGAGAGGCGGAGGGCTGGAGTTGGCTTTGTGTTAGCCCCAAGGCTCTCTGCCTGTGTGTTGGGGTTTACCCCGGGGGACGAGAGGGTAGCTTCCCTGCGCCTTTGGGTCAGGGAACGGGTCCTGACTGTTGTTTGTGCTTATGGGCCAAATATCAGTTCAGAGTACCCACCCTTTTTGGAGTCCCTGGGACGAGTGCTAGATAGTGCTCCATCAGGGGACTCCATTGTCCTGCTGGGGGACTTCAACGCTCACGTGGGCAATGACAGCATGACCTGAAGGGGTGTGATTGGGAGGAACGGCCTGCCTGATCTGAACTCGAGTGGTGTTTTGTTATTGGACTTCTGTGCAAGCCGCAGTTTGGCCATAATGAAAACCATGTTCGAACATAAGGATGCCCATCGGTACACTTGGTACCAGGGCAGCCTAGGTCGCAGGTTGATGATAGACTTTGTAGTCTGACCTGCGGCCGTATGTTTTGGACACTCGAGTGAAGAGAGGAGCGGAGCTGTCAACTGATCACCACCTGGTGGTGAGTTGGATCAGATAGCAGGGGAAGATGCCGCGTAGACCTGGCAGACCCAAACATATAGTGAGGGTCTGCTGGGAACGCCTGGCAGAAGAACCTGTCAAGACGGTCTTCAACTCCCACCTCCGGCAGAGCTTTGACCGCGTCCCGAGAGCAGTGGGGGACATTGACTCCGAGTGGGCCTTGTTCCACTCTGCAATTGTTGAGGCGGCTGTTGCTAGCTGTGGTTGCAAGGTGGCCGGTGCCAGTCGTGGTGGCAACCACTGTACCCGCTGGTGGACACCAGAGTTTCGAGGAGCCGTCAGGCTGAAGAAGGAGGCCTACAGGGAGTGGCTGGTCTGTGGGTCTCCGGAGGCAGCAGACAGGTACCGGATAGCCAAGCGGGGTGCAGCAGTGGCAGTTGCCGAGGCAAAATCTCGGGCGTGGGAGGAGTTTGGTGAGGCCATGGAGAAAGACTATCAATCGGCTCCAAAGAGGTTCTGGCAAACTGTCCGGCGCCTCAGGAGAGGAAGGCAGCAACTCGCTCACACTGTTTACAGTGGGGATGGAGAGCTGCTGATGTCAACTGGGGCTATAGTCAGACGGTGGAAGGAATACTTTGAGGAGCTCCTCAATCCCACCTACGCGCATTCCGAGGAGGAACCAGAGCCGTGAGACCTGGGGATGGACTGTCCAATCTCGGAGGCAGAAATTGCTGAGGGAGTGAAACAACTACACAGCGGCAGAGCCCCGGGGGCGGATGAGATGTGTCCTGGGTATCTCAAGGCCATGGATGTTGTAGGGCTGTCGTGGTTGACATGTCTCTGCAACATTGCGTGGTGATCGGGTGCAGTTCCTGTGGAGTGGCAGACCGGGTTGGTGGTCCCCATCTTTAAGAAGGGTGACCTGAGGGTGTGTTCCAGCTATAGGGGGATCACACTCCTCAGCCTCCCTGGAAATGTCTACTCCAAGGTACTGGAGCGGAGGGTCCGATTGATAGTTGAATCTCAGATTGAGGAGGAGCAATGTGGTTTTCGTCCTGGCCGTGGAACTGTGGACCAGCTCTATACCCTTGCAAGGGTGATGGAGGGGGCATGGGAGTTTGCCCAACCAATCCACATGTGTTTTGTGGATTTGGAGAAGGCTTATGACCGTGTCCCCAGGGGCACCCTGTGGGGGATGCTCCAGGAGTATGGGGTGGTTGGCTTTCTGTTAAGGGCCATTCAGTCATTTTACCAGAAGAGCGTGAGTTTGGCCAGCATAGCCGGTAGTAAGTTGGACCTGTTCCCAGTGAGGGTTGGACTCCGCCAGGGCTGCCCTTTTTCACCGGTTCTGTTCATTACCTTTATGGACAGAATTTCTAGGTGCAGCCGTGGTGTGGAGTGTGTCGAGTTTGGTGGCAGGAGAATCTCATTTCTGCTTTTTGCGGATGATGTGGTCCTCCTAGCTTCATCCAGCTCTGACCTTCAGTTCTTGCTGGGTAGGTTCGCAGCCGAGTGTGAAGCGGCTGGGATGAGGATCAGCACCTCCAAATCTGAGACCATGGTTCTCGACCGGAAAAGGATGGCTTGCCACCTCCGGGTCGGGGGAGAGGTCCTACCTCAAGTGGAGAAGTTTAAGTATCTTGGGGGTCTTGTTCACGAGTGAGGGTAGGAGGGATCGGGAGATCGACAGGCGGATTGGTTCGGCGTCTGCAGTGATGCGGACGCTGAGCCGATCTGTCGTGGTGAAGAGGGAGCTGAGCCAGAAAGCCAGGCTCTCGATTTACCGGTCGACCTACGTCCCAATCCTCACCTATGGTCATGAGCTTTGGGTAATAATCGAAAGAACGAGATCACGGATACAAGCGGCCAAAATGAGTTTCCTCCGTAGGGTGGCCGGGCTCAGCCTTAGAGATAGGGTGAGGAGCTCGGGCATTCGGGAGGGACTCGGAGTAGAACCGCTGCTCCTCTGGATCGAAAGGAGTCAGTTGAGGTGGTTTGGGAATCTGGTCAGGATGCCTCCTGTACGCCTCCCTGGGGAGGTGTTTCAGGCATGTCCTGCTGGCAGGAGGCACCCGGGTCGACCCAGGACACGTTGGAGAGGTTACATCTCCAATCTGGTCCAGGAATGCCTTGGGGTCCTGCCGGAGGAGCAGGTGGAGGTGGCCAGGGAGAGGACGGTCTGGAGCTCCCTAGTTGGGATGCTGCCCCCGCGACCCGGACCCGGATAAGCGGGGGAAGACGACGACGACTTTTCCTCGATAGACATTTGAGGACCAGTCGATAAAACCTTTTTAGAACCTTCTTTTTCCATCGTTGATTCTTAAACAAGCTGGATTTAAAACATGCAGAGACATTTTTGAGAATTTGTATTTTCTGTTCTAATCCAAAACAGTTAAATAATGTTTCATGAGATGAGCAGCTTTTGAAAATAAATGTTCTGATATCTTCAAATCAAATTCAAACGTAACAGCGCATAAAAGATTGACAAATGTATGACATCATTATATATATCGATGGGAAATGTTTCCATCTCACCCAGACCTAATTTCCAGTAACAACTCTAAACAACAGTTGGAGCTGTGTGTGATTTCTCATCACAATAATTAGAATATTCAGACACCTTGCTCATGCTAGAGAATGCTACTTTCTATTGAATGACTCATTGCAAACAGATCTGGGTTCATTAACGTAAAAAATCTTGACCATTTTAATCATGTAAATAAATAATCCCAGTTTATTGGAAATTAAAATTGTGATATTTTTTTACTGCTATGTAGAGGAGTAATGAATGCATCAGATCCAACCTCGACAAATACTATTTGAGAATATAGTTTTGAGAGCTTTGAGAATTAGCTCATTAATCTCCACAGCAGTACAAAACTAAAATTAGATGGCTATATTGTCATGGTGTTAATTTAGGTTGTTGTTGTTGTTTAAAATCGTCCTGTATTTCTTCTTAGATGGTGAGTTTATTGAGAAACTGGCCTGATCTCCCTGCCATCCAGGCCTTGGAGCTGCTGGACTACAGCTTTCCCGACCCAGCAGTCCGATCCTTTACCATCAGGTGTCTCAGGAAGCTTAGGTACACACACACTCCTTGTGTTTGTGTTTTTTTTTAGCAGCAGGTTTCTTTTTCTCTAATTTATTTAAATGTCTTTGAACCCAGTGATAATGAACTGCTGCAGTACCTAATCCAGCTGGTCCAGGTCCTGAAGTACGAGTCCTACTTAGACTGTGATCTCACCACCTTTCTGCTGGAGAGGGCGTTGTCTAACAGGAGGATAGGACACTTTCTCTTCTGGCATCTCAGGTGAGATGCTGTTTCATGGTAATTATATTAAAACATCTATAGGATTTTTGTTTAATTAGAGATTTTTGTGTTTATTGCAGATCAGAGATCCACGTGGCATCTGTGAGTTTGCGTTTTGGCCTGATTCTGGAAGCTTACTGCAGAGGAAACATCCACCACATCAAGCTGCTGACCAAACAGGTAATCACACCATTATGAACTTTAACCTCCACAGCAACACACTGGTGTTGTTCTAAAGCTCAGTTTTACTTCTCAGAATGAGGCCCTGGGTAAAATGAAGGCCTTGAGTGACATTGTGAAGTCAGGCTGCCAGAAAATGACAGTAGAGGACCTGAAGCTGTGCATCAGGCAGGAGTCCTACATGGAGGCATTGTCCAACCTCATGTCACCACTCAACCCCAGCATCATCCTTGTTGAGCTCTGGTTAGTGGCAGAAAATACATAATTATGTTTGTAATGTAAACTTTTGTTCTTTCAATGCAATTTGGGTGATTCTTTGTGGGTTTTAGTGATAAAATGTTAACACTTTTTCCTTAAAATGACTAGTTAACAGACCATTAACAGATTTGGTTATTTGTAATCCTGTCACATCAAAATTTAAGCTTATTTTCACCATTTTTAGTGTCTATTAAATTATATAAATATGTTGCAGAAGACAATTATTAATTATGCATAACCGTTTCATTTAAAAGCCAAAAATCACTTTGCTCAGCCTTTTGTAGAGCTTGAATCTGGAGTTCTGTCCAAGCGACTGTGTTTGAAATGACAGTTTTTGCTTTTGCAGTGCAGACAAATGCAGATTTATGGACTCTAAAATGAAGCCTCTTTGGATGATGTATAAGAACCCCTCAGAACATGCAGACATGGTGGGAATCATCTTCAAAAATGGAGACGGTGAGACACAAAGATGAGGAGAATTTGCCCCCGCATGCACGGATGGAAACATTAAACTTTAAATGTGATTTTGATGCGATGGGTGAATATTTTTCAGATCTTCGTCAGGATATGTTGACCCTGCAGATGATCCATCTGATGGAGGACCTGTGGAAGAAAGAGGGCCTGGATCTGAGGTCGGTCCTTTCTTTTTTTGCATCACTTAAATGCATCAAACATGGAGGACTTCTACACAAACTAAATTCAGTTTTTCCCACCCTGCACCCACAGGATGATCCCGTATGGCTGCCTGTCTACTGGGAATAAAATGGGTCTCATCGAAGTGGTGAAACACTCCGACACCATCGCCAACATCCAACGGAACAACAGCAACAGTGCTGCTACTGCTGCCTTCAACAAGGACGCCTTGCTCAACTGGCTCAAATCTAAGAATCCTGGGTGAGGATGATGTCTCAATGGTAACTTCTACACCTCTACTATCACTCTGGAAGTAATGATCCTCGGGTCTATTATGTCAGCGCTAAAGCACTATTTTAAGCTACAGGAAAGCTGCAGAGGGAGGTTAGAAAGTTTTCCTGTGTCAGGACATGTTGTCATGAGCTTTGTCCCAGTTTCAAATGTAGCAGTTTACTCCATCATTTCATCATATGTGCAATGTGCACTTGTTAAATCCTTAAGGAGGCAAATAGGGTAATTTTGTATGTTTTAATATGTTGCCTCTCAAGATAAAAATCCCAAGGCGCTTCACAAGAACTATAAAAATAAATAAATAAATGATTACAAAGATCATTATAAAAATGGGAGAAAATGGGAAAAATTAAAGGGATACTAGGCAGTTTTGGCTTGCTTTTAGCACCCCCTAGTGTCCATTTAGTAGAACCAAAAGTGAAACTCATCCGTCACTGTGCATTCATCTATTTACCACCTTAATCTAACACTTGAAATGTCTCTTCAGCCTTCATTAGTTTCTACAGGAGCGGTGCATCACGAAATCAAATCAGCTGTGTTCATGATCTAAAACATGCTGAAACATGCTGGAAGCAGACTGCAGCGCCAGGCATGACAGCTCCACATTACTAAGACTAAAGTGGAACCTATGGACCGGGCTAGCACTCAGTTGCAAGTGCAATGTTCTGGTCACAGGAGACAGTGGCGGTGTGTGTGACATTTCATTAACCCTGTAAAGGGTGATTTCAGCACATACTGGCTCAAGAAAATGATTAAAAATACAAAGAAGTTGCATAGTATGACTTCAAGATCAAACATTTTGAATAAAATGAAAAAGAAAAATCATGGGATCCTGGAAAAGACAGAATTAGCAGAAACAATTGCATAAATAAAGAAGCTAGAGAGCAAGAAGAGGATGAACAGAAGGTCACACCAAAGCCAGCCTGAGCTGTTTCGGCTGCTTTTTAAAGGAGACCAATGAGTCCACTGGTCTCAGGCTCAGGGGGAGAGAGTTCTTGGGCCACATCAGAAAATCCTAATCCTGGTGTGTTGCACAATCACTATTAGTTGGTAGTGTGAACTATTTGAAACCAGTGGCCTAAATTGGTGCTCTTGCTGCTAAAAATAACTCTTTCCTCAATGGGTTATGGACTCTGGACTTCTGCAAGTACCCTGTGGTGTCTTAACGTCTGAACATCAGCAGCGGATCCACTGGGTCTAATTGACTGCAGCTTAAATAGTTCAAATCTTATGAAATAGCAATCTATGAACAACTGATATCTTACCTGCTGTTTTTAATGACCTCAGTTGGGAAGAATAGTGGTCAGTTCTTGTTGGCTTGACGAGCAAACAGCTGAAAAGGATTTTAGTCTTGTGAAAACATTTCAAATCTCAAAGGTGCTATCAGCTCTGCATGATAAATATTCTAGCAAAAATATTGTGATATTCATGCATGAAATTAATTAGTTTTAATTATTTTTCCTGGTGTCCATGTCAGCATAGTGACAGACCAAAATAAATACATAAAAAAGGTTTGCAGGCAACTCCTGCAGTGTTTCATAAGAGTGGATTTTTATTTGGTGCCAACAGTATGTAGGTCTCGCATCTGAAAGCATCTTGGAGTATATAATGAATAAGCCTTTGTGCATCACGATGGCAACAGAAGAGAAAGGTTATTAGCTTGAAATGCTGCATAGCTGGAGACAGAGCATAGAAAATTAATAAAAAGCTCAACACACCGAACCAAATGCTTGTCTAGACTGAATGGAAGTGATGGTCAATCATTACTCTGTCACATGACCCTCTGGGAATGTTTCATGTATTTTTCTGCAGCAGGGATTACAGCTGAGTTAGTGTGCACTCACGCCTCTCTTCCTTGTTTCTCTGACTTTGTTGTCACTAGGGATAAACTTGATCAAGCAATAGAGGAGTTCACACTTTCCTGCGCTGGCTACTGTGTAGCTACTTACGTGTTAGGCATCGGAGATCGTCACAACGACAACATCATGATCCGAGAAACCGGACAGGTCAGGTTTATCACATGTATGAATGTGTGTGTGCTGTTATGATACTATTGAATGTGACATTGTTATTTTTTCTGAGGCTTGATTCAGAATTTTTTAGCTTGGTTTGTGAATAATTCATTTTACTGAACATTAGGATAATGTCTTGTCTATCAGACGTTAGTACATCTTGACAAGGGATCAGAAAATAATAGTACACGTACTAGAAATCTGTTCTACTTAGGGAAGAAGTGTCCCTAAATCGTATCTTTCCACCACACTTTTCAGCTTTTCCACATTGACTTTGGACACTTCCTTGGCAACTTCAAGCGTAAACTTGGGATAAATAGGGAGCGTGTGCCTTTCATCCTGACATACGACTTTGTCCATGTGATTCAGCAAGGAAGGACCAACAATAGTGAGAAGTTTGAAAGGTACAGTTATGATAAATGTATTCATCTGAGCAAAACATTTGCATTCTTCTACATGCTTACAGCTATGGGAGGCTATATCACCTCATATTTACGCTACAAGCTATTAGGAGGATTGTAATTTCACTGGCAGAGTGTGAAGGAATCTTTTTAAATAATTGTTATCTAATTAACAGACCATCACTAATACAAGACATTGCCTTGAAACCAATGTTTTTTATGAGTAAAAGGTGTGGAACACTGAAAAAACATGTTTTTATAATTCTTTCTGATTATAATCATTCTATGTGTTTCATAGAGGCTGAGCATGAAAATAGTCTCCTCCACCTATCTCCTCCATTAGAAAATAGACGTTGAAATGGTAGCATTTGAAAATCCTATACATTACACTGTCACTTAACATTTATCGACTCACCCATCTTGGCTCCTGATGAGGAAGGCTGTTGTTAGTTTAGCGTCCAGCAAACAGCAGAGAACATATTGGCTAGTAGAAGCTAACCATTAGCATTGGTAACTCCACCACACAACAGAACTCCTCCAGGCTTGTGTTATTTGTGAGAACAAAACATCCATTGTGCAAAGCAAACTGATCCAGTGGTAGAGTTGCGTTGCTATCCAGTCCGAAGTGAGAAATCCAAAAATCAGGAAATAAGACTCCCATTCCTGTCGCCTGAAGCTCAGCTCTGATGTGGCTCACTTCTACTTCCTGAAACGAGTGCACTGGAGCTTTGTTTCCACAGAGTATGGCTTACAAGGCATTCACTCCTACTAAAGACCACTGCAAATGTACTGATTAAACAATTGATCCACACATTTAAAATGCTGCTTTTCCTACTTCCTGTAGTAGCTAGCTGTACTGTGTTGCTAACCTTAGCAAGTGTGGGAACAACGACAAATTGAGATTTCATTTCTGCTTAATTTAATATCTTCCCTCTTATACAACAGTGCTATAGCTACTTAAAAATATGTTCTTTGCAGCTGCCTATGTAATGTTACTGTTGAGTTAAGTTGTAATTTTCTTTAATCACCACAAGGGGCTGCCACTCCAGCAATCCCCCACTTTTCTCACTAATAGATGATTTTCTGATTTCCTTTTCAGGTTCAGGGAATACTGCGAGTGGGCCTACAAGATCCTATGTAAGAACGGGACTCTGTTTGTTAACCTCTTCGCTATGATGAAGGCAGCAGGCCTGCCTGAGCTCACGTCCTCCAAGGATATCCAGTATCTAAAGGTACACAACAATGATGACAAATATGTTGATGTTTTGATGATTATGAGGATCATGATAATAAAGTTTACTTTGTGTTTGTAATTTTCAAAAGGATTCATTGGCTTTGGGGAAGTCAGAGGATGAAGCACTGAAGAATTTCAAAGTAAAATTCAATGAAGCTTTACGGGAGAGCTGGAAAACAAAGGTCAACTGGATGATGCACTCCTTGGCCAAAGATAACAGACCATGAAGAGCACTGCATCAATAAAACCCCACCAAAAATGATGACTTTAAACTTATAGACATAAAAACGTACATACATGTTTTATGTGAAGAATGGCATTCAAAGACAGACAAATGTTTACACGTCACTGGCTGATTTGTGGTACATAACAACTAAACAAAGGCATCTAAAGACCGTGAGATGTTGTGTCTCATTGCTTCACCAAATATTTTAATCGTGAAGGAGATCCATCTTTCGCCAGTTTACGAATGGATTGTACGTTTCCGTGAGGAGATATCAGACCGGATCATAAATGTATTTTTGAATCTTCAGAGCCTTTACTTGAAAACCATCTACTCATGAAAAGAGAATCAGTGAAACAGAAAGTTCATAAGTCTGGTTGCATTAGTCACCAGGTGGCGAGCTGCAAACAAACTGTGAGATGACTCTAGACAGCTCCTCGCATCAGAGCAAAACGGAACAGCGGCAGTTTCACCTCAAGACTTTCGGACGGCTGACAACATTTCCATGGCTCTGTCACATCCTCTTATTTAAACTGCCTTGTTGCATTTGTGTCTCATATTTTTTATTTGTTTTATTTAATTTTATTACCTTGAACCACTTGTAAAGCCAGCATTGATGTTCTAGTATGTGTTTCATTGCCGTAATGTGATTTGGCATTGAAGTGCTTACTGTTCTGACCCTGATGTGCCAATACACCTGAAATATTATAACATACTGTAAAGTGAGATGCTCAGACTGATATTTCACTCTAGTACCAGGACTGTAAGACTCTAACTAAAGAGGTAATGTGCATTAAAGGTGCAATGCCATCGTTTGCTCAGATGAGGAACTGTGTACCACTCTCTTGTCTGTTGCAGAAGCCAGCGACGCGCAGCTTTGCAGGAATACTGAAAACTGGTCAGCTATAAAACATGTTCATGCTTAAAGTGAGAAAACAATATGCCTATATACATTTCTAAATACCACAGTGTATTTAGCTTTTAAGATGTGTGTGGACAAAAACACAGCCAGGTTCAGTGTTTACCTCATTTCCTTTTATTCTGCTAAGCTTAGCAAAAAGTCGCCTGGCTCTTATGTTACACTTTCACTATGAGAGAGAGACTGTATCTTTATTTTTATCTTTTAAAATGCCTTAACTGTTTTAATAATAAATACCACTGGCAGCTTGAGGGAGAAATCACGTTAGGGACAAAATATTGAAAGTTAAAAGCCATTAACATGTGGATGTGTTTCTCTGAATGTGCTGTTGGTCAAAAAGTCTCGGTTTGCACAACATGAGCTTTCTGAGAAGTGTGAGTGTGTGTGTGTGTGTGTGTGTGTGTGTGTGTGTGTGTGTGTGTGTGTGTGTGTGTGTGTGTGTGTGTACTGTTAATGTTTTGCACTAGAATTAGCATTTTTATTTTTGGCATGATGTGTCAGATGCTATGAGAAGTTTTTCTAGCTTTAAAAAGCCTGTTGCTGTTCACTTGAGTGTTATTTTTTCTGGTTCTGGTGGATTACATGCAATACATTCTGCTGTTTGTCTTAAAATGGCCCCTTGTCTATTTTCTTTAAATTCATTTGACAGATAAAACTCAGACGTTTAGGGTAAATATTCACTGAGGAATTTAAAACTGTTCTTTGCGCTTTATTTACTGCAGTGGCGTGTCCAGGCCTTTCAGGTGGCCCAGGTGGGGCACTTGTCTGTGCATGAGTGGCACCTATGGTTATGGTATTTTTTTCCCCTTGGGGGGGGGTGTCACCCCTCACAAAGTCTTTTTTTTTTCTTGTCATTTTAGTGAATTTGTGTGCTTCACAATGTGCCATGACCAGTTTTCTCTTTTTTTTTCTTCAAGCTGTTTTGGGTGGTTAGAAAGCCCCTCTTGGTGCATTTCCACCACCAACTGGAGTTGAGTGAGAATGGGACTGGGATTCTAAATACTAATTATGCCAATGCGAAAAAATAATAAAGAATAAAAATAATACAGAAAGGTTTCTGTTGGCCTGGGGCTGGAAACAATGTTAAAGATGCATGCTGCCAACTACTGTTTTGGGGGTTTTGAACCCCAAGCTTTTTTGTAAATTCAAATATAAATTGAACTCAGTGGGGTGGCCAATCAGATTTCAAGGGTGGTATGTGCTACCCCAGGCCACTCCCTGGACAGGCAGCTGATTTACTTTTACCCAAAATTATGGGTCAAAACCACAAAAACACTGTAGGCTTAAATTTATTAAATAGTAAAATAACTTTGAGACTCAACTCTGTTTTACACACATGAAGCTGAAGCAGAAAGATAGATTTTGTTAACATAAGTTTAGATTATGTCTGCCATTTACCTGCATTCTGCTTCTGCACTGGCTGTTTGAAATGGAAAAATGCCCTCAGTAAACCCTCTGCAATCTCTCAGGCTCTCTAGAATCCAAGTTCAATGTTAAGCTTGTTTCTTTGAAACTGGCTATTTATTTAGATAAAGGCCCAACCTGTTTCCCATTTCTATATGATTTTCAACGTTCATTAAGTGTTTAGATTTGTGAAAATGAGTTTATCAAACAATATAGGTTATGAATAGGATCAAAACAAAGGAATTAGATAATAAATTAACCAAGTTTTGGCAACTCCTGCTTTGCAGCAGTTTTCATAAAACCAGAAGGAGGCCGCATCAAACATCAAAACAAATTATTAACAAAGTAAGCTTTTCTATTTGTGATAAGAGGTTACAGTAAATTGCAAATGTTTATTGTGAAGGCTAACACATTTTCACAAAATGTTCTGTCCTCCTCATGTGCAGCGGTTTTTATTATTAAAATGTATGTTTTCATGTTTTCCATCTAAAAGTCACAGATCATAAATGTTAAATATCAGCCTTCTTAGAAGAAACTAATCAACATTCTTCTGATGCAAAAATCTGATGCAACGTAATGTGACGTTATTAATGACTGTAGTAATGTGAATTTTAAACTGAGAAGTTAATCAAAATTAGTTTTGCTCGCAGTTTGTGGCACTTTTGATGTCTTTGTTAGATGCAGCCAGGTCAGATGAGGTTGTACAGAATAAAATGAACGGATTTAAATGTAAGAATCGGTTATTGTTACAAAAACATGAAAGAACAAAGGTGATCACTTGTCTCCAGTGTGTAAACCATTGACATAAATATACCTCCAAGTGTCGAAGTGCATCGTCTGCAGAGGGAGTAGCGCCCCCTGTGGCCGGAAGCGGAACATATGCGTGTGCCGTGGAGTGTGCGTTGAGCCAGTCCGCCTGAGCTCTGCCTTCTGGAGGGATGTGACCCCGGAACAGGACGCCCTCTTACAACAACACCCCATTCAAACAGACCACAGAAAAGAGTAAAGCTGGACCAGGAGGGGTGAGCATTTATGTCGTTTGTTCTCGACTAGTCGCAGATTGTCAAAGGTTTTCAGAAGCGATATGAGTGAATCGCGGCGCTCAGACTTGTAGCGGTGTAGCTGCACCTGGATGGTGTCTGTGCCCACAGGAACTTCATTCAGGCTTTTGTCTGGAGCATGCTAGCGAGCTAGCTCAGCTCGCTAGCTCTGACCACTTGGCTTCCAGGGGCGCTGTTTTGGTTTTAGAGCCGCAAATAAACGTCTGTTTGCGTAAAAATGTTGTCGTTAAAGGCGCGGTTCGTTCGCGCTACTGAGGCGGGTGTAGCTTAGCCCAGGAGCCGCTTGGAGAATGTGTTGGATGCTCGGCAGCGTTAGCGCAGGGAGCCGCTCAGTCCCGCAGCAATACGATGACAAGCGCCGATCAGTCCTGTCTGTCCATCATTTCAGCTGAAACCAGAGCTATTCTGCTTCATTTAGCTGTGAGTCGCATTTCAGCGACTTTATACTCAATTTTATCTCAAGAAAAGTGAAAATCTGCACTCTAGTTATAAAAGCTTGTCAAACATGACTGTATTTTAAGCTGTTTTCTATGAAACACCCAGTCAGGAAAGGTAATACGTTTCCAGTCAGTTTATTTCCCTATTTTGGTTTTCACTCTTAAGATTGCTCTTGAGTCACATAAGATGTTTTTTCTATTTTTGATTCCTGCCACCCCCAGATGCATTGTGCCACCCTGCCTTTTCCAGTGTCTGCTTCCCCCCTCCACATGCCAGGGCTCTGACAGCCCTTTTAGTGGCAACGCTGGCACCCCAGTGACAGCAGGACATTGATGATTGCTGCAGCCAGCAGGTGTCAGGGCTTGGCTGCAGGCAAGCACTCTGAATCCCCCTGGCAACTAGCAGCCTTGGTCATGTACCACAGCAGGCTAAAGCTGCCTCAGTTTGCACATTCTCCTTGCTGTGTCTGGATCTCATTTTCCCCTCACATGCAAGCAGGGCAGGTTCACCACAGCAGACGCTTCTAAAGGGATATCATCAGCTGCACAGAGCAGATCTGGATAGAAAAACATGGTTTAGTTGCACTCACTGCCAAGGTTTTTTTTAAAATGATTTTGATGAATCAGACTAAAAATGTGTGTGTGTGTGTGTGTGTGTGTGTGTGTGTGTGTGTGTGTGTGTGTGTGTGTGTGTGTGTGTGTGTGTGTATATTGTTCTGTCTTCTATGATAATGTGTGTTGCACTGGAAGATACCAGAAACACTGTTACTTACAGCCTCCATCACTGCATTGTTGCAGCCACATTGATCATTTATAGCGGTTTGCTAATCAGAAATTTATGCCCCGCTTTGACGCTGGCTCTTTTGAAAATTTTGCTGCCACACTCCCAAGGGACCGGCTTAAGGCAGTAGCTTCTGTTTCGGATCCTTTTGAGGGACCCTGAGGAGTGAGTATAGATTTTCTGTGATCACAAACCAGATGAGATGCCCTTTTTTTTCCTCCCTTCAAATGTGATGCTCTCTGGAAAAACATAGCTTTATAAAATTAGGTATATATGAAACCCCATGATGCTGCTGTAGTATAATGAATAAAAACAAGTGAGTTAAATACATTTTTAATTGTTAGGTTAAAAGCTGGCAGAATTAAGAAATGTAGAAAACTTATAGCTAACTTTCTGTAACTCTAATTGGAAGTTTTACTATAAAGTGCAAGAATAGCTCCCTTTGTAGTTCAGCTGGATTGTTTGCATTCACGCCTAATATGGTAACAACAAGACATGACCTACATTTATGTCATGTTTTCCCGATCTAGTTCATCACCACTGCTCCAAAAACTAAAGCCATTGTTGTAAACAAAGGGCATCTGAACATATAGCCACATGCAAAGACCCTGTGGATCCAAGTCAGACTTCCTGTCCTTGGGTGGCTCTGCAATTCACTTTTATATTCTGCAAGTTGTAACATTTTTATCTGTCATTCAATGTTATGCCTACTGGACATTCTTGTGTGGAGGCCCTGTATAAATAATTTTTATACAGTTGTACTGATCCTGGTCTTGAGGACCAATTCCACGTCTTGACTCGCTAATACAGATTTCGACTGAATCTGAGAACCCTCACCAAACTATAATAACAGAATAAAGTAAAGAAAATACTTTAACACTGTGAGTGTTATGAACCTGGAATTAAAAACTTCCATGTTTTTATCGGGTACTTAAACCCAGCGTCGTGCCTGTCAAAGTAAATATTTGATTAAGGGCTGGGCAATAAATCGAAAATTTATCGTTATCGAAATTTCTGACTCTTATCGAGATCATTTTTCCCATCATGTCAATAAATTTGGTAGTAAAAAAACTGAAAATATGTGTGTAGGTCGGCAACATTCATGTCTCTTTTCATGTAAAAATTTGACTTAGCGTAATACACGTGACAGCTCCATCTAGTGGACAACTCTTGTTTCTGCGCATACCTGTAGTTATTGTCCATTTATCATCGAGGTGAAATCCTCAATATATTGTGATATTGATTTAGGCCATATTGCCCAGCCCTAATTAAACTATTTTTTTAATTAAAATATAGCTTTTAAAGGAAATACTGTAGCTTCATTCTGCACACCTCTAAATGCCCCGTGGAGGTATTATTTTTAAAAATGTAGCTTTTTATGAAATTGTTCCATATTGAATCTTTAATTTGGTGAAAATAGGCCTGTTCTGGTTACCTGATTTTGTTTGTGCGTCCTCAGGCTGGGCGATGAGGCCTAAAGTCAATGTCAAGGTATATTGAGGATTTCACCTCGATAACGATAAATGGACGATAACTACAGGAATGTGTGGAAACAAAAGTTGTCCACTAGATGGGGCTGTCACATTGTCAAATGATTACCTTCTTAAAGGGACATGAACGTGGCCAACATACACACATATTTAAAAAAAATTTTATTATCGAATTTATTGACATAAGAAAAAGTATATCGGTTGGAGTCAGAAATTTTGATAACGGTAAATTTTCCATTTATTGCCCAGCCCTAGTGTATCTCTAGTCTCCTTGGTTGTGTTTCAGTTCCTGATTCCAATCCTTCTACAAAGTAAACATTTTTCCAGTTCCCAGTTTGAACTCGTTGCTAAATCTCTCCAAGAAATTCAGTTTCCTAAAAGGTTTAGTCATCAGCAGAAAATGAGCATCTGCCTACATTAACACAGCTGCTCTGCAGGGCCAGACCAGGCCATCACACCAGGCGAGGAGCCTACTAATGTTTCTCACACATTTGCTCTAGCTGTTGTAGCAGCGCAAGACTGAATTCAAATTATTTTCCCGTCTCGGGTTTATCCCTCTCTGCTCGGGCCATCAGAGTGTCCAGGTCGTTCTGCAGCTCAGTCCTGCCTGCTGCAGGAATCTGGCTGTAATTCAGACGCAGCAGACATCCTGGCAAATAACGGTGTGACAACTGTGTCAGTCTTCACTGCCCCTTTTGACCCTGTGGGCAGCTTGTGACCGTATAACGTTACACAATAATGTGTCTCTGCAGACTGACTCCTATTCCTCTGTCAGTTTTCTCACAGTAGTGGAAGTCCTGGCTTTACTGGTTTCACAGAAATCCAGCCAGTTTGAGAAGGAGCTACTAAACATGGAACGTTTTCGCATCTTTCATTATTTTAAGTCGTAATATGTTCCGAGGAACGTTCCGAAAGACCTCATCATCTTGATTTACTGATTCTGCTTTTACATTGGCAGCTATCTAAAGAGAAATGTGAACCTCATATTGTTTTTGATTTCTTGTCTCTTTCTACGAGCCTTAAACACCTTCATAGCGGTTTAACTTTATTAATAACTCAAACATAACAGCTGATTTTAACATTCCGACTTTAGTTCAGATCCAAGTAACTGATTATGATCTTTGGCCCTAAATGTAACCTGGGCTCTCCAACTTTACAACCCCTGCGTCTTGCCAACTCTGGGAGAGAGAACGAAAAGAGGCGTGGATCTCTGGGGGATTAAAGCTAGATCAGCATTAAAGAAAGCTTTTGATTGTGTCGAACATTACCCGTATGGGTCTAGACTGGCTGAGTATTCATCGAGGAACTAATAGCCGGCCATCTCTAGAAGGTAATCTTAGGCATGAAGAACTGGATCCTAACTGTGGTCCTTAAAGGGATGTAAGACAAAATGTAACAACAGCTCTTTTAAAATATAACAAATGCAATAAATGTTGTGTGAATAGAAATAATCTATAAAATTGTTGGTTTGTTAAATTAATGTGAGTTCTTGATCAAAAACAGATTTGATTTACAGAGTAATACACCCGTGTAAGGGACAGTTAGAGCAAAAGTTTAAAAGGCATAAGAAAATCTTTTCCAGGGAGGATCTCTGTGCTTAAGAAACATGGAAAGCGTCCTCCATGCTTACTTGTGTATATCTTCTGAATGCCGTAATATAAGGAGACATTGGTTCACATGCTTGGGTCTTCTTTCATGTATACAGGTGCTGGCCAGTAAATTAGAATATCATCAAAAGGTTGAAAATATTTCAGTAATTCCATTCAAAACGTGAAACTTGTACATTATATTCATGCAATGCACACAGACCAATGTATTTCCAATGTTCATTACATTTAAATTTGATATTTATAGGTGACAACCAATGAAAACATCAAATCTGGTATCTCAGAAAATTAGAATATTCTAAAGGCCAATGAAAAAATGTTTGTTTCTCTAATGTTGGCCAACTGAAAAGAATGAACATGAAAAGAATGTGCATGTATAGCACTCAATACTTAGTCGGGGCTCCTTTTGCCTCAATAACTGCAGTAATGCGGCGTGGCATGGACTCGATCAGTCTGTGGCACTGCTCAGGTGTTATGAGAGCCCAGGTTGCTCTGATAGTCGTCTTCAGCTCCTCTGCATTGTTGGGTCTAGCGTATTGCATCCTCCGCTTCACAATACCCCATAGATTTTCTATGGGGTTAAGGTCAGGCGAGTTTGCTGGCCAATCAAGGACAGGGATACCATGGTCCTTGAACCAGGTGCTGGTGGTTTTGGCACTGTGTGCAGGTGCCAAGTCCTGTTGAAAGGTGAAGTCTGCATCCCCATAAAGTTTGTCAGCAGTAGGAAGCATGAAGTGCTCTAAAACTTCCTGGTAGACGGCTGCATTGACCCTGGACCTCAGGAAACAGAGTGGGCCAACACCGGCAGATGACATGGCACCCCACACCATCACTGACGGTGGAAACTTTACACTGGACCTCATGCAACGTGGATTCTGTGCTTCTCCGCTCTTCCTCCAGACTCTGGGTCCTTGATTTCCAAAGGAAATGCAGAACTTGCTTTCATCAGAAAACATAACTTTGGACCACTCAGCATCAGTCCAGTCCTTTTTGTCCTTGGCCCAGGCGAGACGCTTCTTGCGCTGTTTCTTGTTCAAGAGTGGCTTGACACACGGAATGCGACACCTGAATCCCATGTCTTTCATGAGTCTCCTCGTGGTGGTTCTTGAAGCGCTGACTCCAGCTGCAGTCCACTCTTTGTGGATCTCCCCCACATTTTTGAATGGGTTTGTCGTCACAATTCTCTGCAGGGTGAGGTTATCCCTAGAGCTTGTACACTTTTTTCTACCACATTTTTTCCGTCCCTTCGCCTGTCTGTTAATGTGCTTGGACACAGAGCTCTGCGAACAGCCAGCTTCTTTAGCAATCACCTTTTGTGTCTTGCCCTCCTTGTGCAAGGTGTCAATGATTGTCTTTTGGACAGCTGTTAAGTCAGAAGTCTTCCCCATGATTGTGGTGCCTTCAAAACAAGACTGAGGGACCTTTTAAAGGCCTTTGCAGGTGTTTTGAGTAAATCAGCTGATTAGAGTGGCAGCAGGTGTCTTCTATATTCAGCCTTTTCAGAATATTCTAATTTTTTGAGATACCAAATTTGGAGTTTTCATTAGTTGTCACTTATGAATATCAAATTTAAATGTAATGAACATTGGAAATACATTGGTCTGTGTGCATTGCATGAATATAATGTACAAGTTTCACGTTTTGAATGGAATTACTGAAATATTTTCAACCTTTTGATGATATTCTAATTTACTGGCCAGCACCTGTATAAACTGTCCGTGCTTGGACACTTTCATATGGTAACACAAGCTGACCTCCACATCACTTCACGGGTCTACAGACTTAGCTACAGCCTAATTTGTAGCCATAATGTGCTAATTTGTTTACAATATCCAATCAACTAGAAGTTGTTGTCACAGTATGGAAGGCCTGCTTCTCCCACCTTAGAAACGTGTTAATCCCAACAAAAATGATCACTTCTTGGCTTTTAACCCAACTTTTGCGATTCCAGTTTTTCTTTTCTCATCTCTGGGTGTCATATTTTTTTGTATTGTAAAAATGTATTTCCTTTTCTTTTAGTTTTAGTGATTTAACCTGTATTTTAATTTTCAAGCTATTCTAATATTTTTTCCTTTATCCTCCATTAGGGCTGGACAATAATTCAATAACAATATATATCAATTGATAGATGTATGGCACAATAGAAAAAAATAGGTCAATAAAAGCGTCAATAAAAAGTTTCTATTCTTTTTTCTATTTTAGCCTATCAGGTAGCTTGATACTAGAGTCAATACTTACTCCCAGCCAATCAAAAACACAGACCCAGGCACACGCTGTCAAGTCCTACCGATGCCTCAAACCGATGCCTCAAACCAATGTTGCAGCTAGTAGAGGAAATAGTCTCGTAAAAATGTTACAGTAGTTCACCAGCAGAGTGGTTTTTACAAGTCTGACAAAAAAGGCGCCATGGTCAATTAAATGTTTCGTAACACAACCAACTTGTTTTATCATGAAATAATGACATAAAATAGTCAGGACTGCATTTAAAATACATTTTCAACATTTATTTTTATAATTATCAATAATTATTTATATCAGTATGAATTTAGTTTAGAAATATGCTGTATTTTTATATATATCAACTATATCATCCAGCCCTACCCATGAATTTTTGGGATCCATAAATTTATGGGTTTTCTGCTCTGTGTGCAACGCTTTTGTGCCCTTGTTGTTGAAATGTTCGTTATTCATAAAGGGATTGGAACGGACACTAGCATACAGGTAAGGGGGTGAAATCTAGTCTGAATAGAGATATTCTCCCAGTGGACTGTCGTTTTAATGTTTTCTTGCAGCAGATATTGTGAAAGTAAAAAGTCGTTTTTAAGGATGGTTAAAAATAAAAACTGCAGCACTCAGAACAGAACTTGCCAAATCCCGGGCCGGTGCGATGCTAAAAATGGACGTTTTTCAAGCTTCAAACGCAATCATCAGTGAATTCAGTTCAGCTCTGACATAAAAGGCCTATTTTTATCAGTAATGGTGGAATAGGGCTTCTTTATAAATAAAGCTTTGATTGATTGATTGTTTGATTGATTGATTGATTGAATATAGGAGGACACTTACATCTAGCTGCAGAGATGAAAATGGTTACGATGTCAATACTCCAAAGTCTTTGATGTTAATTTGTTGTTTTCAAAGATCTTTTTAAAAAGACAAAACCATTTTGCCAATTGCATTTTTCATCTATTCTTATCTGTCGCCGTTTTTCCACATTGATGCTGTGACTTATTCACTTAGTGAGGCTGAGGAGGACCGATTTGGTCCTTCTGAGTCTCCGTCTATCTTCACGGTGCAGAAGGTCTCTTAATATTATGTATTAGCTCTCTAATTTGTCTGAAGTGAGGAGCCTGGAGACGTGATCAAAAGTGTCACAGAAGCTGGTCTGCCACCACACTTCTCTTCTTCATCCACCACCCCCACCCAAATGCAGTTCAGCCACCACCGTCGCCAATCCCCTGAAGGTTTACCGAGCAGCTGAACTGACACCAGCAGTCTCTCAGTCTTTTCATGTTTGTCTTCAGAGCAGCTCACCAATTAAACAGCTCAGGTTGGAGTGAATACCTAATGTATTCATGGGCTGCTCGCTCATTGTCCTGCTTGTGCGTTGTGAGGAACAGAAGAAAAACTCAAAGTGTTGTAAAAGTCCGTCAAAGCTCGCTCTAATTATGAAGAGGAACCAGAAACGTAGTCTCTAGCTGCTCTGATCTGGATGGATCCACACGAGCATCAGCACCCCCAGTCTCTCCCTCTTCTAGGCTCTCGAAAAAGGGGGATGGCGAGCTAGTTCCTCAATTAAATATAACCCTACATCAAACAGCCCGTCAGCATGCGTTAGTGGCCCTTTGTACAGATAAGAGGCAAAAATAAATTGCCAGGTTTATCATAGCGACACGCATATTCTGAAATATTCTTGGAGGGGGAGGTAAAAAAACATGCATACTTATTTATTCTTTCCCTTTTAAAATCTTTTTTAAGCTTTTAGTAATTTAGCGTTTCATCACAAATGAATTTCTATGTTTTTTGTTTTTACAGAGTAAACTAGCTGAATTTCCAGCAGAGCTTATCCCTTGTTAAAAGAGAGATCTACTGTGGCAACAGACGACCTTGATGTGTGAGCGTGCGCTATCACAGCGGAACCCATCTTTTTTTTGTCACCCACATTAGCTGTGGCAGCTCCTTTTATCGCCTCCCTCTTTTTCCCCTCCCCTTTGCGCACATTCTGCTTCTCTGCAGAGCGACAATGAAAATGGGTCATAGGCAGGCGTGAGATGTGTGTGAAAACTACCACGCAATATTCATGATGAGGCGGAGAGAGCCAAGGAGGTCAGATGTCCGGAGGGAGTGTGGGATGTGGCTCTGATCACCTTTAAAGGCTTCACTTTGGGTTTCTGGAACCAGATTGTGTGACTAAAACAACAATTTTTAACTTCCTGTTTAACGTTTAATGTGGACTGGATTTGTGTAACACTGATGTGTTTGTGTGTCTGCATCCAGAGCCACAGGAGCAGGGGGGATGAACCGCGAGGAGGCGCCGGGGAAGTCTCCTGAAGAGATTTACATCCAACAGAAAGTGCGGGTCCTGCTCATGCTTAAAAAGATGGGATCAAATGTAAGAACATGGACTTGATCTCCACTACCAGGTGTTTTTGATTCAAAAACAAGAGACACGTCAAACACAAGCTCTCATTGGATGTGCAGTTGGCAAATACACGCCCCCTTTTACAAACTATCTCAGAAAAAAATTGATTATTTTTCCAAACAGAGTGGGTCATATAGATGTGCTTCGGTCAAAAGAACAATCAGCTAGAAAAAATTGTGTTTAATCAATTTTTAAGAAACAATAAAGTATATATTTCAAATTTCTGTGACTGAAAGTTTGTTTTTACTGCTTCTGTTGTCAGAGTTGGTAAATATCTCTGAGATTTTCAAAATGACCAAAATCAAGAGTATTTTCAACTAAATGTGCACTACTTCCAATAACAGCATATCTGTCTTTGGGATCTGGACTGTTTTTGTTTTAGTGATTTTAAATTTTCTTTTGTTTACTATTCAGCTTACGTCGAGTGAAGAGGCTTTTCTCAGAACGTACGCAGGTGTGGTCCACAGTCAGATGAGCCAGCTACCGCAGCACAATATAGACCAGGGTAAGGCACTGACACACACACACACACACACCTATAGAAAGGCTACTATAAAATACAGTCACAATATACATAAAAAGTGTAAACAGCCAATCCGCATACAAAATATGTTTAGAACGCCCGGAGAAATAAATGGGTTTTCAGATTGCTCTTAAAAACATCAACTGAGTCGAGTGAACGTAAGAACAGAGGTAACTCATTCCAGAGCCTCGGTGCGACGGCCTGGAATGAGCGATCTCCTCGTGTCTTGGACCGAGTACAGGGGACCATAAGAAGATTTTGATCCAATGATCTCTCCACCTTCGAGAAGGCATGTAAGGACAGAGCATGTCTCGAACGTACAGTGGAGCCTGACCATGCAGCGCTCTGAAAGTCATATTTGACGTTGAACACAGGAAAACCAGCAGCTGATAAGCTCCGCCCTCCCCTCACACATGTGTGCTGCACTACCCAGAGTAACACAGAACAAGGGAGAATCCCTGCACACACATCACTCGTCTTAAAGCGTGCACATCATCGAGCCAAGTGTTCTCCCTGATGATGACTCCTCTGCCCACCAGCTCTGTGAGATTACTCACACAACGGTCGGCGAGCGTGAATAGAATCCAGTGACTCATACTCGGCAGGAGTGCTACAGCAGTGTCGCTGCTGATGGTTGGCCTGGTTGGGGGAGTGACGCAAATCACAGCTCTGTGTGTAGCTGTGGAGTACATGCTGTTGTTCTTTCAGATTGAAACACTAGAGTGCACTCTTGAGCTTTTATTTTTCCTTTACTTTGACCGGAGTGTGAACCGCTAGAGGGTGCTGCATTAAAACGCAGTGATCCTTCTGGAAGAGGCTCTGCAGAAAGCAAAAAAAAAATGTAAGATATTTCAGAGTAAATAGACCTCTGTTCCAAAACACAGTTATCAGACAGAACGCCTGCTGTTGTAAACCTGCTGTGGCTCGTGTCTGCCTTTTCTTTTTATAACTTTCAGCACTCTGGAAGGGTTTTAGAGGAGAAAATGACCTGTGACGCATTTTCTCATTTTAGATTTGAGGATTTGTCTGTGGCCTTTCTCCGTCAATGCCAATGAACTGTAACAAAAGATTACCTAGCAAACAGAGCTTCAGAACCCTGTACCGAACTAGCAAGGACGAGTCCCATTCATTATAGAGGAATATAAATATCGAGTGGTGCAGAGAGTATGAGTCCTACATTACAAACAGACACGGTGAACGTCCTCGGTGAGCCCATGAATTATTCGTGGGCTACATCTTGTCTGAGTGATTGTGATGAGGTATTAGGAACATGGTCGGAGAGTTAATCGTTGTTGAAATATTCAAGGCCAATTGAAGGGCAGCACTTTGTATGTACCAGCAGGCGTAGCAGCCTTTCAGGAGAGAGTTTAAGTTCACCGTTGATCTTATTTAGACGTGAAAATGGCTTTTAAAGAAGTGCTGAAAGCTTGCCTTTAAATTAGTGATGCACCGATATGAAATGTTTGGGCCAATACCGATATCTGATATTAATATCACTGTTATGGCCGATAACTGATATTTGCTGATACCGATATCCTGACATTATTGCTTCTAAAATCAGATTTTGTATAGAATAAAAACTATTAAAGCTGAATTTACGTTATGTACACACACCACACACATTTATGCTTCAATCACTGTCACATTACTAAACAAATTAGAGGCCGGCCAATATGGTTTATTTTTAAGGCCAATGCCAATACCGATTTTTAAAGAATTGTGTTGCCGATGGCCGATATCTAAAGCCAATTATTAAGGCCTCTATATATATATATATATATATATATATATATATATATATATGTATATATATATTAATTACACCCTATTTTCCGTAGTAAAAGTCGCACCAGCCATAAAATGTATAATGAAGAAGAAAAAAACAAACATAAGTCGCACTGGACTATAAGTCGCATTTTGGGGGGAAATTTTATTATTTTTCTTACAGAATCTGAGACCAAGCATTTCACATTGCAAGACAAGTACCGGTAACAATAACAGAATAAACAACCAGGGCGCAGCAGCGCACCACTTTCTCCAGCAGAGGATGGCGGTGTTTCAAACCCTCCCAGCGGGACAGGGGAGTAGGGCTGCAACAACGAATCGATAAATTCGATGAAAATCGATTACTAAAAGCGTTGGCAACGAATTGCGTCATCGATTCGTTGTGTCGCACAACTCTTCCAAAAGCGCCCCCCCCTTCCCGCCCGCCGTTGCGCGCAGACCAGAGCAAGTCAGATCAGCGCGAGGGAAAGCCGCAGATCAGCGTGAGGGAGAGCCGCAGATCAGCGCGAGGGAAAGCCGCAGATCAGCATGAGGGAGAGCCGCAGATCAGCGCGAGGGAGAGCCGGCAGATCAGCGCGAGGGAGAGCCGCAGATCAGCTCGAGGGAGAGCCGCAGATCAGCTTGAGGGAGAGCCGGTACAGGCAGATCAGCGCGAGGGAGAGCCGGTACCGGCAGATCAGCGCGAGGGAGAGCCGGCTGACTTGAGCTGCTGCGAACCGGTTCCGCATTGTTGCACAGCGATCCAGGCAGCTTCTTCCAGCGCACGGTCCATTCTCAAAGTGGCGCAACCAAAAAACTATAATTAGCACACGATCGTTCATGTCCGCACATGTTCTCTATTTTCTGTCTTATTTGTGCCTGAAGCGCGCTACTGCGGAGCTCATCACCTGTGCTGTGGTGATGTCACCTCGCGCAGCATCGAAAACGCGCTCTGCGCTTTTCGGTCAGGAGATCCTTTGATCTGCTCAAAAGTAACTGATGAGGTGAAAAGGTAAGAATCCAGGCAACAGATTTTCTGGAGAATTAAGAGGAGATGCAGGAAGATGAGAGACAGACAGGACAGGAAAATAGTTCAATAAAAACAAGAAAACAAAACAAAGTGTTGAAAAGTAAAATGTAGGTAGATTTATCTCCACGACACGTTTTTACCAGTAAAAAACAATAAGTTATACACATGTCATATTTATACATCTGATACAATTCAGATCACCTTCAAAACTCAGTCACACACCCAGGGCCGTTTCAAGACATTTTGGGGGCCAAGGCAAAATGCCCCCCCCCCCCCCCCCCCCCCCAATAACTGGGCTCCCCAGAAGCCTCTGTGTAATTCATGCCCTCTCCAGTAGTGTTAGTTATATGGTGTTTATAAAAGCCCCTCAGACATTACTGACATGCTCTAATATTATCAGATGAAAAACTAAATTATCAGACATGCTGTCTCATCTGCTTATTTTATAAACTTGCAAAAAGTAACAAAACCATTTGAAAGCCACTATTTGTGGATTCTCTGAAAGTTTCCATGGAGTTTGTGACAATTTATTTTTTCATTGATCCTATCGTCTAATCTCACAGTTGAAACAAGCATCCTTAATAATCTGTGCACAGGAAGCTTACCGATGCTGTAGTAAAACAAAAGGTATAATAATTTATTATTAATAAAACCTTGTTGCAGCACTAAAGCAGAAAAATTAGATTTTGCATTTAATATGCAAAATATTTACATATGAATTGTTTTAGAGCCCTTTAATTGGCAGAATCTGATATTAATTTAGTTCTTACAAAAAATGGGTCCCAACATGGTTTGTGTGGCGTTGCCATAGTGTGACGTCATAGGCACAGATCCCCTGTCCTCTTGTTTGGAAATGGAAATATGGTCACCCTACATTAAACAAACTGTCCACCCGGGCTTTTGCACTGCACAGAGACGCTTCGCTGCCTACGACTGAACGTCAGTTGAGAGTCAGTCTCATGCAGACTGACCAATGAAGAGAGGGCCTCAAGTTAAGACCCTCTCCTCATTGGTCAGTCCACACGAGGTGGGTCAAAGGTTACTCTGGGCGGGTTACGTGTTGTCAGGCATTCAAGTATTGAGTATATTTACTGCATATTACAGTAAAATATTCTGTATGTAACTTGGACCAAGCATTTTAGGTCACAGATAGATGTAGCTTAGGGTCTCTGTCTATACACCTTATAAGACAATTTAGGTGATGGCATGTTGTTTTTCTGCTATTGAACTGTTTTCTAATAATGTTGTGTTAAATAAAGTGAAGGAAGGAGAGAAATAACGTTTCCCTAGCAGTTTCTAAAAATTTCCCCATGTAATCCGATTAATCGATTAATCGTGTCGAGACCCCATCCGATTAATCGATTATCCAAATAATCGTTTGTTGCAGCCCTACAGGGGAGCTCATTCCTGGGCCGGAGCCGGCCCGCAGCACCCCGCCACAGGCTGCAGCAGGTGATGGCGGTGTTTCAAACCCTCCCAGTGGGACAGGGGAGCTCATTCGTGGGTTGGAGCCGCCCGGGCCGCTGCAGCTCGCCACAGGCTCCAGCAGGTGATGGCGGGGCAGAGGAGCTTATTCCTGGTCCGGAGCCGGTCCGCAGCAGCGCGGTATACATAATCTGGTATATAAGTCACTCTGGAGTAGTCGCAGGACCAGCCAGACTATGAAAAAAAATTTCGACTTATAGTCTGAAAAATACGGTGTATATATATATATATATATATATATATATATATATATATGTGTGTGTGTGTGTGAATGTATGTATGTATGTATGTATGTATATACATTTTGTGTGCAATATAATTAAAATAAGTTAATAAATCTCTTAATATTTATTGAACTTCAAATATAAAACAAACGCATAAAAAATACTGTGTGTTGGAGTCCTTCGGGTACTTTCTTCAGTCTAGTAGTGGCGGTAGTTGGCCACACGTGCCTAATTTCTATAATTTTTTTTCGGCTTTTAAAAGTAATATTGGCCGATGGCCAATGTAGAAAATATTAAACAGAAAATAAAACAAATACACATCACCCCCCTCATCCTCTGGAACAGATAAACAAATGGAAACAAGACGGAAAAAGTATTAATTGTTAATATCGGCCTGGTTTTATATGCCAATATGTACAAAAATGAATAACATCGGCCAATACCGATATTGATGCCGACATATTGTGCATCCCTACTTT